CCCGACAAATCCACCAACTTTCAAGGGTTTGTTCGTAGGGATTTGACTTGTCTTAGGTTTGATCCAGGAGTGATATCAGATAGAGAGCCACTGAGAATCAGGGGGTAGTGGATAGTTGTCTTTCCCTCTTTTGGGACTCACCAGCAGAACTCACACACTGGGTTTCGAGCCCAGGGCGTTACAGTTACTAGAAAACCTGGTCGGCCATCCATACACTGGTATCTAACTCAACAGGCTGTGAATTCTAAGTTCTATCTATTCATGATTTTAGCGCTGTCACCAGCTAGCCTTGTGACCGAAAGATCCAAGGTTCAAAACGCAGCAAAGGAGGATTGCTTTTAAGTCCCAAAAGAGGACAAAACAACTGTCCTGTACTCTCTGGTTTTCATTGGTTCTCTAACTGATAGCAGTCTGTGATCAGAAGTGAAGCAATTCTATCAATAGTGGATAACGTAACTCTAGTACAAATAATTTCGTTTTGAATTTTTACCCGCCGATAAATAATTTGCCTGGTGCTGAAATCAAGATTTAACGTATTTTCATTAATTTGGGTAGAGCCTGCCTGCTGAATGCTTCTCACACGCACAAATCCATTGATCTTTGAACACAAATATTGGACCCTGTAATCTTAACAGTTCAATCTATAGTCAATGTACAATTCCATTGTGGTTAAAATTTATTCCATATTGGTTTGTTTATAAGATGTATCACACAGTCAGTGAAACAGTATTAGTATTTGCAATTTACACAATTTATCTATTGTTCATAATCATAGTATCAATTATAATCACACGACTTCGAAACTTGGGTTTTATAGTTCTCTTTGTTCTCTCCTACTTGTCGTAGGAGTAGTAGAATTTTCCAGATATCTGATGGAGATGTTGACTCATTCCTGTTACATGTATTTGCAGTTGATTCGATAAACAAAGCTTCTGTTATCAATCTTTCCCTCCATCCTGTTACATTAGATTTTAAAACTGTCATCTTAGCCTATCCTATTGTATGGTTGTGTAATTGCATGTAGTGCTACTATAGCTTAACTACTCTCCAGATTTCTTACCTTTTTCGGGTCAGCCAATCTAGATTTTGCTAGATTTTTATGTTCAGCTAGTCTGACTGCCCCTGATCTACTAGTTTGACCTATGTATTTGACCTGACAATCATTGCAGGGTATTAGATAAACTAAATTGCTTTGCGTAATTGGCTCTGCAGGATCTCTACACCAACAAATCATGTTTCCAATTGAGTTTGTAGGTGATTGAATGCCACTAATATTCCTTCCTACCTTGTTAAGAATCCTACATAAGGCTTCTGAGGTTCCTTCTTTGTATGGAAGTACTACTGATGATCTATATTCTTTATTGTGGATGTTGTCATTATCCTTGTCATTATTAATATTATTATTATTATTATCACTACTAGTATCATTTATCTTATTTTTAAATTTTCCTACATATTTCCTGATTAATTTGTCAGGGTAATTATTAAGTTTCAAGGTTTCTCTTATATGTATCACTTCCTGTCTTAGATTTTCCTTGGTACTACTTAGTTTTTATGTCCTATAACTTAAACATTTCACCAACACTATTTTTACTGACATAGGGGGAGATTTTTTAAAAATATATTTGTGCGTTGAAGTTTCTGTAGCAGTTTGGTAACGGTAGAACCTGATGCAGAAGGGGTTATCAAAAAGAATATTATTTGTTTAATTAACATTCTTTTGAAAAAAATACTATCTTTCTTTGAAACAGTAATATCAACTAATTTCATTGTTGATATTCCTGAATGACTAACCCTTTTTCTGAATTCAGGATATATCTTGTCGAATTGTAAGAAAATGCTCCGTCCAATCCTCTACATTAAGAAGTTAAGATAATCAGGAATCACTCAACCTCCATTTTTACAATTTGTTTCTTCTAGCATCTTACCTATCGTTCTTTATTGCTCCCCACAACTTAGTTACCTCTGGGCTACTTAAAAAGGACTATGTCATATTGAGAACAGTATTAAGGGTTGTTAGTAAGGCAGGTAGTGTGTCACTAAGTCAAACAGCTTGTTACTGCTGCAGTCAGCAGTCACCCGAACTCATATGAAATGTGGTCTGAATCCATACTGTCTGACTCTCAACACCCTCCTTTTCTATTCCCGACTCTCTCCACCTTGCATCTCATCAGGTGGAAATAGAAGAAGTCATTATAAAAGGTTATATGCTCGTTCGCACAACCAAGTACAGAAACTCAGTGATACTTTGTTTGACCCGTGTTATATGTGACAGAGAAAGTTTTAATCGTGAAACTTACAACTTATTATGCAATTAACAAAATGAATGACGCTTTCATATTCTTCTCTTTGTAATTTATTGTGACACTATTTCATTTCACTTATAATTTTAGTTACTAACATTATTATTATTATCATTATCATTTTACACTTTCTGTTTATTTTCGACTTGACTGTAACTGCTATTGCCAGAAAGTTGCTATTATCAATTTTGGTTAACTATACCCTGTTATGTTAGTTTTTGCTTTTGTTTCTGCTCTTGTTATTGAGTAAATTAGATGCAATGTTGTACCAAATGCTAAGAATACTGCCTTGAAATAAAGCAAATTATTATAATTGGCAGTAGAATTATGACGGAATAAACACACTAGATCATAGTAACTATTAAAAAATGGTTGCAGCGAAGGTAATTTTCCTTTAGAAGAAGTCATCAATTAGATAAGTGTATATGCGAGTATTTATGATAAATGGGTGGGAAAGTTCCAGAATAATTTACGGCCAATGGGGCAAGTTAATAAAATTGCAACGTGTAATAAACATAACAGAATCATAATTACTGAGAAAAAAATGACTCCTTTTGTACAATTAAGGATTAAAAATATAATTCCGATATAACACAAAGTAGTGCAGACAAGAATTAAAAAACGTTAAAGTAACAGAATTAAACACGAAGATTGGATAAGAAAAGTAATAGAATAACCGTTATTAATAAGACTCACATTTTATAATGACCATGGAAGGTACAGAGGTTGGATGTATAGCGCGGGTTTGAAGTTTTGCATCGCTAATGCCTCTGACCGGAAATTCTTCTGGAACTTTCCCACCTATTTACTATAAATACACAAATGTACAACCTCCTAGGTGATGACTTCATCGAAAAGTGGATTTTCATAGCTATGCCTGTCTTCTTAACATTTCCTTTTCCGGTTGTGATTATTGTTATATATTGATAATAGAGAATTATTGCTTCAATATTTGTTCACTCTTGTTGTCTGATTCTCTCTTCATGTTCGATTCAGTGCTGAATGTAGAAACTAAAATTTACAATGATTTCTCCATACTACCTTCCTCTATGTATTGCAAAGCGTGATAACTTCAGCGCACGCATTTCCAGGAAATAGTTCATTAGATAGACAATGGAACAATTAGGTGATGTATATTTCCTAAGCAGACATGCAGTGGACAATATCTTCATTTCACCAGTTTCGTTCCTATCCAGTATAAACGTTCCTTAGTCTCAAAAAACTTTATCAACTGTCACAGTAAGTGTAGACCACATCTTGAAAAGACAGCTTCTGTAGCAAAGAAGGCTATTTTCATTAACCTACCATTTAAGGGTGATCAAATTATGCAGTTGACAGCGCAAAGACTTCGGTCAGTCATCAAGTGCACATTCCCTTTACCTACGATTATAGGATGAAATTCTGTAGACTCTACTTCAGAATGTATCTATAAATTTACCTACAGTTGCAGAGACACTTATATAGGTAGAACCAATAGAATGTTCCAATGTCGTGGTCGAAAAGAACATGTTTCACAGTGGTTATTAAGACACACAGAAAATCTCAATGTGATTAATGTGAGTAGAAATCCAGCATCATCATCCATTGCAAAGTACTTATTAATAACAGGTCACAAAATCAATATTAATGACTGCTTCACAATTATTTAATCATACGGTTCTAATTCAAAGCTGGTTATTAAAGGTGATGGAAGCACTTTTGTGGATTAATCACATACATCCTAAACTGTATGTACAAACAAAACAATAGACTTCAACCTTCCTTTGCATACCATGAACTGACTACTTGACCTATTTAAATATGACTGATCATTAGTATGCACTTTTGTTTTATATAACTGAGTAATTGTCATGCATTCTGTTTTATTTCATTATTGTGAACCTTGTTAGTCGTAAAGTGATTGTAGAGAAACCATGAAATGACGATATCATCTCACAACATTTATCTTCTAAATACCTTATTCAGAAAAACTGAAATAAGTTTCGGTGAACTGAACATTGCGACTTGCATTTTACTTTACTAGGCTTTAAAAAAAATCTCCCTCGATGCTGGATGAAGGATACAATTCGTATAAAAAATAAGACCATTTAACGACAAATTGTTTATGCCTATGGATATTATTATACAGTATAAAATCAGATGCATGTTAAATTATACAAAAAATCAAATACTACTCATTTACATCAAGTAGTAGTAGTAGAAAAGGCGTCAAAAATTTAATGTGAAAAGAGATTATGAAATGAAATAAAATTTAAAAAATTCTCCTTCATAAAGTATCATCATGCCTCACAGTCAATTCACAATTAAGTCTCAAACAACAACTATCACATGGCTTCAAAAGCAGTCTCAAATTATTAAGTTACAAGTCAAAACGTGCTCAAAGAAGGTAAGTAAAAGACCATGACCTAAGATTAAGAACAATTAGCATTGTGGACACAATCATCCTTATGTGCATAAATAGGCTAAACCAAAGTAATCGCATTTCTCTATGAAATCAATGAGAAAGGTACATAGTAGTATAACTGTGTTGCCTCTGCAAATCTCTTATTTATCGGAAATAAAAAAAGTAGTCAAAATGAAAGGAAGTCGAATCACTGGGATGTATACTGCATCCGCTTTCGCGGTAAGTAATGAAGGAACTGGTGGTGAGAGTGAAGAAAAACTTCTTCTTCTTCACCTATCTATCTATCTGGTGATTTATCTCAACGGAGTTTCTTCGAAAGCCGACTGTTCAAGTAATTTCAACTGCCAAATTTTACTCATATACTGTGAGTAAATATCCACTCCGAGAATCTTCTTCAATAGAATCTGAAAGATAAAGTAACAAGAAATCAGAAGATGAGTGAGTGTTTCTGCTTCCTCCTGCTATCATAATCATGCATTCTAGACAAGTGAAATACAAAGATATTGAATAAGGTGGGGGAGGGGGCTATCTCCTTCTAAATGGACTAAAACCATACTCTCCGACCCCCAACACCCCCTCTATTCCCAACTCTCGCCTTGTATCTCATCAAGTAGAACCAGAAATCAGTATAAAATAATTTATGCTCGTACAACCAAGTACAGGAACTCAACGATACCATACTTGGCCCGTGTTCTAAGTGACAGAGACAATGTTAGGCGCGAAACCTATGACTTGCTTTGTTGTTAATAACATAATTTTAGGCTCTTTTATTTCTCTCTTATTTTGTATTCTATAGTGAACTCCTTCTTAAACATACTTAGCTACCTAAATTACTAACACTGGCTTACTTTTTGTACTTTACTCTATTCCTTCTTTTGTGTATCTACTGGTTCCGACTATATGAACACTACGAGTATTACAAAATTGTCTTGTCACTAACCATCATGTAATTATTAGTTTTGTGATTGTTGTTATTTTGTTCGGCAATATTAACTGACAATCATTGGTTGTGAACACCATTATCACCACCTTAAAATTTTGTATTATGCAAGATTACTCACACTACCACTACAAACACTGCATTAGACCTGACAATAAAAAACAAAACAACAACCCTGAAATGTTATTTTATGATTGTTTAGAGTTGTTTCAACCAAATTAACTGACCATCTTGGCGATAAACATTCTTAAATATCATTTCATACCTTCTTGTATGACAATAGCTTTACTGTCACCATGCATAATCATATCATAGCTTCCACTACCCCATACTGATATATTATTATATGCTGTTTATTTTCCTTTCTACTTCATGGTATTTTTTTCGCATTTATAATTATTTTGTGTTTATCCTGTTTTTTTCTGCTGTTGGTGTCTTCAGATTTATTTTTTTGTTTGTTTAATACTTATTTTAAATGTCTGTAAAATTAGATGCAAATATTGTAGATACGTGCTGAAAACTCCATACTGTACCACTAGTACTGTTTCTGGAATAAAGCAAATTATTATTATTATTAATAAGACAGCATTGATCAATGGTCAGCAATTATCTGTCGTCCCTTATTGAGAACTATTAACCTTTACGACATAAATTGTAAGATATTTCGTTAAATTGTGGAAATCATCAAAAGTACACCAAACCTCTTCAGGCATCTCATACAACATTCAAGCTAATGTGTAAACATTCTGTCACGTAAACACAGCACCATACAAGTTAATCTCTTGTTGTCCTGGAGGTATACTGCGATTAACATCAGCCATTCAGCTAGTGAAACACAATCTGATAAACTTCGAGAAGCACACTTAATTTAATACCGTATCATTCTGTTAGCTTTCGTTGATAGTTCTGTCGGTAAATCCTGAATACACTTGTACAGTGTGTGTGTGTGTCAACTTAATTACGGTTCACATAGATTATTCCAACAGAGAGCACTCGCTACTCTCTCTGTCTCTCTAGCTCGAGTTATTTATAACTGCTGTTTATAACTCACCTCTTGTGATGCAAAACTCATATCTTTATCAAGAATTTCGTAGGCTTCATGTAGTTTCTTCAGTCCGACACACTTTAAACACTCCCTGTAAATCAAGGCGATAAGAAAAAGACAAGACAGATACATCTAAGCATTGATGTACAGACTTCAAATATAACAGTAATAATAATATCAAAACAGCTTATCCGATAACATCCAGACTAACTGGTGTCCGCCACTGCTTTCACACATTCTCTAACAAGGAATATACACATTGGATCATAGGAATTATTAAAAAATCAGCGGTTGCAGCGAAGAAAATTTTCTTTTCGACGAAATCATCAGCTAGGAGGCTGTATATTCGTGTATTCATTTATATTAAATGTGTGAGAAACTTCCAGAATTATTTCTGGTCAAAGGTCAAATTTGAAGTACAATGTGTACTTATCAGGAAGATTGGGTAGAAAAGACAAAAAAGATTATAATTACTGGAAAACTCGTCAGCTTGTACAATTACGAGTTAAGGACGTAGTATTAACGAAATGAGTAGGAGGTTCGGACATATAAAAATGAAGACAGTAAACAAATCTAATAATGCAGATAAGGATTTAAATATAACAAATAAACGGGAAGCTTGGACAAGAAGAGTAATACGATAATCGTTATTGGTGGGACTGATTTTTCATGATGGCCACGGTAGGGACAACGGTTGGATGTATTTCTTTTGCACACATAGAATAGGCTTGAGGTTTTGGATCGCCAACACCTCAGCTATTCTTAGATATCTTGATTTCGCTCTTTTTGGTAGGTTGGATCGGATCTTGTACATGGCTTTGAAGGACTTTTCAAACGGAGCTGAATGCCCACAATTCACTAGATGCTCTGTTATCGAACTGTATACCCCGATGTGTTCTTCATGTTGAATGGTGCTCCCGCACACATTTTACAACAACCTTTTTCACACATTCTGTAACACAAATTCTAATTATTAACCCGCGATACGACGATTTACCCAGGAAGGTAGGTAAAGGAGGCTGCTTCTTCCATATCATATCAGATATGATGACATATTAGATGAAGTAGTTTCATTACACTATTCACATTCCCAAGCATGTCAGTTAGTCTCTATGAGGAGAGATAAATTGAAGACTATTGATTTATGAAGCTAAACAACTCACACACCTACTCAAGACTTTCCCGTTCATATATATAGAGTCACTTTTTTTGTCAATTCAATAAAACTCTTTAAACATCAGCCCTCTTTTAGCCACCTGAGTGAAACAGATACCTTTTGATGGAGGCAGTCAACATATTTCTAGGCTGAATGACATATGTATTTCACTAACAATGAGTAATTATCACCTTCAGTACAGAAAAAGGTAACACATTACTCAATTCATGTTGTGTTAGTCACGCCCATTTTTGCCTTGTAAGATGAGTTTATATGTTGTCAACAAGGAAAGCTTTTTATTGCATCTATTGATGATTCACCTATCTTCATCTACAGACGTATTTCAACATTATTAATTCATATTTCAGACTTGCTTTCTTTGACAGTTTCAGTGATGAATCATGACAATTAATCTGATTACTGACAAATAAAACAAGTAGTTTTTGATGTGGTTGTGTTCTCTAAGTTAGCTGGATGGTTTATCTACGAAGCTTTCATTGCCATCTACTAGGCAACATCTTCAGTGCATACTTCAATTTGTTGAAGTGAGCTTTTAGATCTCTCCACGAGTTTATTAGTCATTTCTCCTGGTGGGTGATCTTGAACGTGATTGGTCGTTTTTGTGCATTTTCACACCCTTTAGTCTGCTTGTATTGTATTCGACTGGGACAACCAGCGTTCAGTTATTAGACAGAGGAAACACCAAGAATGCTAGAGAATTTTTAGAAGCCTGGTATTCCAGTGAATCATCAATCAATAGACACATCGAGATAGACAAAATTTATCAACCGATAAGAAGGAAATCTCATACACAAAAGGTCAAAGTTCAAGTCAAAGAAACAATCAGTTCCAATACAAGTAGCCAAGAGGGTGTGAAAACACACGAAAATAACCAATCACATTCAAGATCACCCACCAGAAGAGACGACTAATAAACTCGTGGAGAAATCTCAAGGCTCACTTCAAATTGAAGAATTCGCTGACTACGTTGCCTAGTAGGCAATAAAAGCTTCGCAAATAAACCATCCAGTTAGCTCAGATAACACAACCACATCAAAATCATCCACCTGAGCTACAAATATTCTCCATCATATCTAAAATAAGTAGTTATTTGTGGATGTGTATCGTCCGAAGTCATGTGATCTACATGGAATGATTGCTTTCAATTCATTACTGCCTCGTTTGAAGCTAACATCTAGCAGGAATAGTGATTCAGATTTCCACACTTCTGATTCACTGAACCAGTCAGATTATTGATCTATTGGGACATGGTTCACATTATCAACAGCTGTCAACAGAAAGCAACTCTGCATATAAACTTATACCAATTTATGATATAACATTACTCAGACAAAAACAATCCGTAGCTTAATTTTGTCACACTTAATTGATACTGGTCATGTAGTGGGGAAAACGAGAGCCTTCAAAATAATTCATCGTATCCCACCGAATCTTTCCATTAGACTCTGTATTCGTTTACTGCACAGAGCGGAGGTGATAGGCATTCGAATTATTGAACCTAAACTATGTATTCAAAAAAGTTCGTAAAGCCATTATCCCTCCCTTGACCTATTACGACATAACCAACTAATGACTTCTACACCACCCTTTGTTTATATTTTCAACCCCCTTAACCTTATCTTCATTATAAACGTGTTTCATTTACTTCCCTTACAATCTAACATTACTTAATCGGTTCATTTGTTTTTACTAGCCTTTATCGACTACTTCCATCTGAACATTTGTTTGTTTAATCATGCTGTTTTCATTATTCGTGTTATCACAGATTGCCTCACATTTTTATCCTTATTATTGATAAGACAATTATTATTACTATTATTATTATTACTACTATTATGACTGATTGCACCATCGTATTATCCCATAAACAAAACACCACGATTGGTTTATATTTGAATTACTCAGAATGGACAAAACTCACTCACCATTCCTATAAATACTTCAGCAATAATGCTTACCTGTGTAATTCCACAAAACGTTGCTTTAATTGCACAGATCGGTTGATGGTTTCCTCTTCTGAAACAAAAGGCAATGATTATTAAACGATGAATGTACAACAAAAGGGTACATTTAAATATATGTGACAAAAGATTCTAATGAAAATATCCTCTTAAGCAGAATTTTTCAGAGAAGCCTTTCAATATCATATTGATAATCATCACTATGCTCTCACTACTTCCCATGCCAAGCATTTGCAAAGATCTCCATGAGACTATTCCACACACACACACACACACAAATATCATCGATCATCAGTCTACACGGAAATGTCAAATGCATTCCTTGCACATAATCAAGTCAGATGACAACCCTTTCAAGGAAGTAACTAGCTCATGTCGTCACAGGCTACTCCTTATCTTCACACTAGTTATCCAGGATAAATTGTGTTCGGAGTATGATTGTGCTCAGACAGGTTTAATTTGCTTCTTTTCATGTTTTCTAAGTATTCCTAATTTGATATCTCAGAGGACATCGGATTGCACATCTCAGCTGTACAACTGTTCACTGAGAAGTTATCAGACACCTTCTCATCATTACAAGTTTCATACTTCAGAAAATTCCACACAGCCAATGAATTCAAAGTGTTTCACTCAGTATTTGAAAATAGTGAGGTTGCCTGTCTCTCTCTCACACTCTCACTCTTTCCAATGTCACTCATCACAATAAGTTCTTGCACTGAATTTTCGATGAACAAAGAGACATACGGGTAGGGAGTATACACAAACGAGAAATTCCAGAACAATAGGTCAATGAAGAATTTCTCTGAGTATCCAGTTGGTTGACTGATTGATATATCAGCATAGAACTTCCCACAAAAGTGTATCAGCTAGGGTTAACACACTTCAAAGAAGCACATAAATGTAGGGAGGACAAGTGTAATGAAACTTTAGCTCACAGAGACAAACGAAAGAGCGAAAAATTAAACGATAATCAGTAGGGAATTTCAGAATCTGTAAAACGATGTGGCGTAAACACACATGCGCACTGCGAAGGATTATGGGACACGTCATCAATAATTCTCAAACATCTACATCACTCAACGTATCTCAAACCAGCATTCAAAGACTAGTTTAAGTTTTGCGCACTCCCGACTTCTTTGCAGTCGAAACACATGTTAGCTAAAATTGCACCTAGAAGGCTAATGCAAATCCTCAAGTAGGGCAACTTTTGAAAACAATCTTTATAAGTGTAATAAATAACCAGTTGAAACAAACTCACTTGGTTCAATCGGTCCATTATCTTCACTACTACAAGTCGATGACTTTTGATGACCACCTGAACAGATGTTAAATCCATTGTCCACAGTGACAAGCCTCCTTTCACTTTTACTACGACGAATTATCACTGGAGCACCTGGATGACAGTCATCTTTCAGAGTGTCAGCTAGACAGTCAACCACTGCAGCGATCTCCATGTCACTACTAAAATACAAAAAAAATTACATTCATTAAGCTGACAGTAAATAACTGACTTCATTCTAACGGCAATAGGAAGTCTGAGAAAGTAATGCAAACAGAATTATCATTGTAGTTCGTGTGCGCTCATAGCCTAACAGCTGTACCCTGATCTCTTCAACTATTCAATTCTTGATGAATACAAACATGTTGACAGCTTCAGATGGAAAAGCAAATGAAGACAGAGAGTGATTCTGCTTAATCCGAGAAGAAACATGTCGTAACATCAATAAGTTCACTTCACGTCTGTTGTAATCTGTAATCTTTGACCAGTTGTATCGAATTTCAAACACCGTCAGTGACTAAAATACCAATGAATCACTCAAGATTGAATCAGTTGAAGTTTCCCAAAAGACTGACATCCACTAAAAGTCATTTTCCTATTATCATTTTGCACTTATAAGAACCTTCATGCTGGAATTCCTCAAAGGAATATATACTGCTTGCAAACTCAGTGTGCATCGTTCACTGATTCATAAAATTATCACATAGTACAGTGTTTCATATTGAAGCAACTTTGTCTCGTGAAGATGTTCATATCCACTAAACGTCTTCCTTGAGATCATCTTAGGAATCTTATCAGATATTAAGATCGAAAATAATCCCAGTTAACAATGTCTATTAAAATATGGTAATAACTAGAAACGTATCGAATATTGAAGAGACATATCACCCGGTTACCTCTCATTCCCAGATCCATTTTAAGTGAGACTGAGTAGGAAGGAGTCTTCCATTTCCTACATTCAAATTGGCGGCAGCCTAAATTCCATCACTCGGTATCAAGACAAATTACCTGGACGTTCTCAGACAAACATTTGTAAACACTAACACTCATGAGTTATACATAACTTCCCTAGTATGAAACAGTCTCCAGTTTCTGCTCAAGTTACGTGAGATAAAAGGATGCCAAAAGGTAATCAACCAACTGTGTGATGAACAGGTTACTGAATGAATGAAAAATACAACTGGAAACCTACTTTTGATGACATTCCGTTGACTTGTTCACATCATTCTCCTTGTCAATGTTCTGGTCTCGACGAAGTTCTGATTTACATTGTGGATCTCCAACAATGAAGTTACCTGTCACTTTATTCAATACAGGAGTATTATCACCGTCGATTCCATGTCTAATCTCTTTTGAAACACTCTGATCCTTCAAGGATGTTGAATTGCACTGAAATACTGATGAGTCCTTCATGTGAAGAAAATAATACATAAAATGTAAACAGTTATGTCTCTGTATCTGATTTGAGTTTAGTTTCCGCTTATCTGTCTCATACACCTGTTAGTTACACATTTTCAAGAAAGCACTTCGACTTTATATAATACTTGTATGAAATCTAAACTAGCAATACTGTTCACTACCGAACAAAAGCAAAGTGACTGACAAATGTGTGGCATTCAAACGTCTGCTGAAAATACCAACACTTTCTGTTGTATTCTACAGCTCCAGTTTAGAATACACATGTGGATTACACTTATTTGGAAGTACCTCTGGAGTTTGTTGAATGCATCTGTCGAAGCCGATGAAACAGCAACACTCAGGCTCGGTTTGAAATACAGAAATGAAAAGAATATTCACTATACATTCCTTCTATCTGCTAACTATTGCTAACTATAGACTCGGTGTCATAAAAGAGACCAATTTCTGGCAATAATCCACACAGTGTGTGACCATTGATGTTAGATGCACCATGTACTGTTACACAAAATATGTACAGCAAAACGGTCGAACCATTCTCCCCTCCATATTGTTAAGCAAGAGAGAATCTCTTCTAAGCAAGTGATGAGATCTATTCACACTAACATTCCCATCCATAATTCTTGTACTGACATGTGGCACCACTGATAACCGGTAAAGCGGAAGGTACTACAAGACAATTTGGTAATTCTGAGTAGATCTCATTGATTAGTTGAAAACGAGTTATCTATATGAAGCACAATAATTTATGCTTTCATTGTTGACGCAATTTGCTGCATAAAGTGGAATGCTATTTAACAACACCATTTCATAACCACATCTCATTCTGTCTGCCAGTTCTCCCCATCATACCTCATGTTCTACAACCAACACGTCAAACAAGTGGCTACAAAACTCTCACTCAATAAAAAGGGCATATACTATCAAGACGAGCAGATATTCTACATCACACTTCACAAAATCCAAAAATGACTCAGCTCTTCACTCATTCACCATGAATATTAATCGCCAACTCTTGTGATGAAAGAGTCACAATCAAATGTCAAAGGTCAGAGAACTAACAAGCATGAAAACAGTAGTCTCCCTTTGATGTTAATGCGTGGAACTAGTCATTCGGTGTCAAGTCAGACTTCATCTGTTTTCCAGTAATTAAAGTGTTCAACTACCAATCGAAACACAATGATTTCCCATCCACTTAATTGTAATCAAGTCAGGAAAATTATCCATTCACACTATTAGTCAACACACTCCTACTGGAAACACCTCCTACTTCACATATCATACAATCAAAACTATATGCAAAAATGAAATGAAATATAATACCTGTCTGTCATGATTAACTCGTGGAGATGAGAACAACACCACAGCGGGAGAGGATGATATTTCTGTACAATCAGCATGTTCAACTGGAAGGCGAGAATTTCCACTGGATTCACTGAATTCAGTAGAACCATTCCCCAATAGTGCATGTTGTACTGTTGTTGTATGAACAGAAGAATCACTCTCACTACGATGACCTGGTCTACGCAATTTAGGCAACATCGACACAGGAAGAACACTGAATGAATGTGAATGCAACTTCCCGCATTCACGGAATTTGAAACGTGGACTGTTTCCACTAGTATTGCACACCTCGTTGAAATCTGAAGACTTGTTAATACGATTCACCTCCTGTTCCTGTTTACAATGAATAGGGTGGCCATTATGTTGTTCACCTGAAAGTCACAAATAAACAACCATAATAGTTAGAGAAAGACACATTGATAATACTAAATTAATGCAATCACCCTTACGAACAGGGATGAGAGAAATTATCACTCGACTCATAATTCAAATTAGCGATTCTCAAGTAATGGAACTCCTGATGATAATGTCATCGGTTTGTGTAGAGTAGTCAGTGACACACAGGTTGCACTTTGATGAGTTGATGTAACGTAATGTGAAATTCTGTTCTACTTACCAAGTCAGAAAGAGGTCACTGGTATCGAAAACATTCAAACTGTTTCATTTATAAATTGAAAACATTTGCTTTCCGATAGTCAATTTAAAACAAGCACCAACTGTGGACACACCAGTATTCAATGAACTCATAAAACCCGATAGAAGGACTCGTCAACTGAATACTCCTCTACAAACATTGTTATTCACACATACAAACATACGAAAACTGTGACAGAACAAATAAGCAGCAATTTGATACGATATAATATATACGATCTATAAGCGATGGATGACTGACAGTCATCAAAGCACTTTATTTCTAAAATATCCGAGACTAATGCGAGGGGATAACCGCATGTCATCCATGGATGTATCATCACTATTCACGAATGTAACACTTATGGAAACGGTAGATTAAATTTGTCAAGTTATCGCCAAAATGCAGTTGGACTTAGGAATTCCCTTGTGTAGCCTCAAAGAATTACTTCTTAAATGCACAATGAATGTTCACTTTGTCTTCAATAATTCATACTACTGACAAGTAGATGGAATAGCTATGGGTTCACCATTAGGCCCAATATTATCTGACTTCTTCCTCGCAAAACTTGACAACGGGAAATTGAAAGATATCATAAAGGAGTTTGATATGTCTTACCGATATGTTGATGATACATTTATCTTATCTGATGGGAATATTAACATAGAGGAAGTGTTGCTGCAATTCAACAATACCCACCCTTCGCTTACCTTCACTTGTGAAGAGGGGCAGGATAGTAAACTACATTTTCTGGATGTCTTGCTAAGTAGGCGAGAAGATGGGTCACTTGAGAGAAGCGTGTACAGAAAAAGCACATTCACAGGACAATACACACACTTTTTTAGTTACGTGCCCATTAAATATAAAAGGAATGTTGTAAAACGTCTTGCGAGCAGAGCAAGAAAGATATGTACGGATGATCTCTTACAAAAGGAATTTGAATATAAGAAAAAGGCACAAACAGCGAAGAAAATTTTCTTTTCGACGATTCATTTTCATGAGCTGTACAATCGTAATTATAATTAACAGAGAAATCTATAGACCAATCAGATACTGGTAAATTTTGTCCTTGGAAAATTGTATTACATAATGTAAGGTGTAAGAAGGGATGACTAATTGTAAGTTAGAAAGGAGACAGAAGTTGGCATGACGTAATAAGTGTGAGATAGTGAATAATCAATAATCTCATGTAAAATGGACAGGAACTAGTGGAAAGGCTATAAAGTGTTTTTGTATAAGATATGTATGAAAAACAATGTTATTAATAAACAGTAATAGAGTGGTAATAAAATGTGGATGATGGGGACAAAATGATAATAAAAGTATTAATAAAATAAAATAATAATAATGGTAATAATAGTGAACTTACATAGTAAAGGAAAGAAGCAAAATTGTGATAAGAAATTTTACTCTGGCCATAGTAAGGCAAGAGGATGTATGTATCGCTTTTGTATGCAGAGGTCCGGTTTTAGATCTCGAATAGCTAATGCTTCAGCTATGTACAGATGGCGAATCCGAAGTCCCTTTGCACGATATTGAGGGACTCTGTGTAACACTGTGAAGCATTCATGTGGGGGTGCTCGATGTCCAGAGATGACCAGGTGTTCGAGGATCGAGCTGTTGCTATTCTTCTTTTCTCCTCTGGCCAACCAAGCGGGGCAGTGTTCCAGAATACGTTTTTGGACTTGACGTTGCGTACGGCCAATATACTTTGCTCCACACGAGCAAGTAAATTGATAAATACACATTGAGGTGGCCAAAAGCGGTATCTTGTCCTTAGCGTTAGACTGGATTAACTGTCTGCAGGAGAATGTGATACGTAGAGTGGCTGTTGGAAATGTCTTCTTCAGACATTTAGAAAGGCGGTTTCTAAGAATTTCCGCTGCGACATCACCTTTGAATTCTAGGTTCATGAAGAGGGTCTTCTTAGGAACCGTTGCGATGTTTGACATCGGAGGCTTCTCCTTCATGTTTTTGTCAATAAATCTTGGTGGATATCCATTCTCTAGTAGGATTTTACGTAATAAATTTAATTCATTCTCCACCATGTCTTCTGAGCAGATTTTTCTAATCCTTGAGCTCAACGTACGTATCAGGTTTCTCTTTCGGATTAGTGGGACGAAGCTCTGAAAGTTGATAAACTGTCCAGTCCATGTTGGCTTGCGGTATATTGATCTTTGGATCGTACAGTCGTGTCGTCTGGTGAGTAGTACATCAAGGAATGGAAATGCGTTGTTCGATTCTCTTTCTAAGGTGAAACTTATTGATGGATGCGCTGCGTTGAAGGTTTTGAGTAGAGAATCTAAATCACAATTTTCATTACAGATTATAAACGTGTCATCTACGTATCTCTTGTATAAGTGCAGTTGACTTATCAAGGGATTGAGGATGTTGTTTTCCAGACTCGCCATGAAGCAGTCGGCTAGGAGTGGACCGAGAGGAGACCCCATAGCTACTCCATCTTTCTGTACATAGAACTTTTCATTGAATTTGAACTGGATATTGAATGTACATCTGAGAAGAAGTTCCTTCAGGTAGTTTATTGGGAGAGGAACTTCTAGGTTGTTGGTTTCGATGTAATCACAAATGAAGCATATTGTTTCAGTTAAGGGGATGCTTGTGAATATAATCACGATTCCTTGACGGAGATGGGTAGTTTCATAGAGAAACATATGAAAACATCGGAGAAAAAACCGGAGACTCTGACTGCATGTAAAAAACGTCTATTTACTAAGTTACAAGTTACTTATCAAGTGAGATTTTATTCCAGAGACTTTCCAAGAGTATACGAAGAACGTTTTACGTAGCATACCTATGTTTGTCACTCTCTAGCTGAAGAATGAATGGGACGCTAGATAGTTTTGCCACATCTATGTGCATTTATCAGTTCAACTGCACTGGCAGTGACATTTATGTTGGGTGTAATACCAGATAGCTTAGCCAACGTGTTAGTGAACACCTTCCATCGTGGTTTGGCAAAGGACAGACAAAAGCAATGCTTAGCTCAATTTCGTCACTTTTAGTTGTTAGTGGTCATGTAGTGTAAAAAAACGAGAGCTTTCAAAGTAATCCATCGTATCCTACTGAATATTTTTTAATAGACCTCGTATTTGTCTACTGCACAAAGCTGATGCAGGCGATAGGCATTCGAACTATTAAGCCTAAACTATGCATTCAAAAGAAGTTCATACAGCCGTTATCCTTCCCTCGTTCTATTAAGACCTAAGCAACTGATGACTTCTCCACCACCCCTTACTTACTTATATTTTCAACCCCTCTCTTATCATCCCTTAATCTTATCAAATCTTCATTATAAACGTGTTTCATTTACTTCCCTTACAATCTAACATTACTTAATCGGTTCATTTGCTTTTTTTTTATTACAGCTTGATTCCACACCGTATTTTTCGGAACAGGTATGGAATTTTCAGTATGCGATATCGGTAGCCCAAATTTTGCAGGCCAACCATAGATACCAGGTGTGCGTCGGCAAGGGATCGAACCCCGGACCATGTGCATGGTCAGTGAGAGTCACTATTATTATTACTACTAGCCTTCATCGACTACTTTCACCTGAACAGTTGTTTGTTTAATCATTTTGTTTTTCATTATCCGTGTTATCACAGATCGCCTCACTTTTTCAGTCTTATTATTGATAGAACCATGATTATTATTACTATTATTACTCTTATTATCATTTCTGCTATTATGACTAATTGCACAATTTATATTCACCATCTCATTATCCTATAGACAAAACGCCATGATTGGTTTATATTTGAATTTTTATTTGCAAACTTATGCACATTAGAGTTAAGCCTGATGAGATCTAATTGAAGAAAATATTGTTCGCTTAAATGTGCTACGCTAAATTTTACTATGGGAATATTTAACATGTTTGAGTGCATATAAAGTGAAGTTATTTTGGTAGAATCAGTACAATTGTAAACATCTAGATTTGATAATATTAATGAAATACAAGGAAACTTCGTAAAATACAAATCAATAAATTGGACGTGTGTAAATCACATAGGACTAAATAACAAGATTTCAACATGTCTGATTTGAGTAAACTCATCAGAGATAGTCAGAACACTCCTCAACAAGACTAATACTCAACAAAGATTTCCGATTTACACACATCCTAAGACAACTAGAAGTCTGTCAGATGAAGTAGTAATAACTATGATGGTGGAAAAATCATTGTAAAGAGAAGAAGGAAGGGGGGAGGAATGTTATAAAGGTAAAATAAATGTATGCTACGAGGACTGATTTAAGTTAACTCCCGTCTCCTATTGTATAGATACATCCGGCTTCTTCAATCTGACTGCGCAGACCTCAGCAAAACCAAGAGCATTTTAATTACTACCCTTTTAATTAATTGCCATAAGCCTTTTATTCAACGTCACCGTATGATCACAACAGAGGAGGTCTACACCAACTTATGAATTCAATAAAAAACCACCATTTTTCACAGTTGTTGCTTGTTCTAAGTTTAGTTTATAGCCAATTGCACGACTAAGGGTGTGCTCGATAGCTCTCAACATCTTCATTGTACAGTACTTCTTGGACAAAGTGAAAAATCAAGTAGGGGCGATTTGCGTACACTTGTATCATACGACAGATATTTCTGCTTGCTTCTTTCGAAGCTCACTTGACAAATGAAAGTTCGTGTGATTCATTAGACATTAGTACCTTGTTGAACGACATAATCTGTTGAACCTCTTCAACTCAGGTAACCAGTTAGTATTTGATTGGTTTATTTAGCTGTTCATATTATTCATGTCCAGTCGGATATTTCATTTTATCTTCTCTCTATTGATCACCAATCGTATCCTTTGTTACATATCGTAAATCACTATTGTTATTATTATTATTCCAAAATACACGAGACACTCATTAATATTCTGTGTCAAAATAATCTACAATGTGCAAAATTCGAATTCACATTTGTGCAAAGTTGACTCAGACTGTGACATAAAATATATTCACTAAGAAAGCCCAAGTATGTGACTTCACATATTCACTTCGTCAAATCAAAAGAGAAAGTGAGTCATCTCATGAATTGACGAACCATTGACCACTAGTGTGATTCATCTTGACATTTTATCACAAATGAACACAATTCCAATTATTCGACTGTGTTGTCTAGACAACCTCTATTCTTGAAAATGCACTCAGTATCATCGGCTTCGATCACTGATAAAGACATCCATTGATCTGAAATGTTATCGTTCTGGACAGAATAAATTCTTACACACCACTCACTGAAATACAAATAGTCAACCAATCTGAAGAATCACATCATTTCACATGCCAACTTCCTTCAATGACACCACGAACAAGTGAGGAATTGATTTAGTTTGAAGACAAATTAGCCTTCACTGTCGTCATCCACAGATCAGTAATTTTGGCTAATCACCATGTGTCTATAGTTGGTCCATCTAAACAGTAGTGGAGACAGCAAGATAGAGTGAAGATGGACTGTTCAGGCGATATGATCCACTCGATACCCAAGGTGATAATAGTAAAACTGTTTAAATCGATGAATATATCTGGAATGTTTCGAAATATTTAAATAAGCTGGCACTTTGACAAAACAATGTACTCAAAGCTTGAAAACTCATGATTTATGATTCATTAAAGCCTTCTGGTGAACTGAGGGAAAAGAGGTGATGAAGATTCCTGGCCAACAGCAACAGCAGCTACAACAACAGACAACAATCAACATAAATGGGCAAAATCCGAAAGAAACAACCTCATTCACCTACCGATCTGGGAAGCATCGTTTCAACCACAAGTGGAACTAATGAGGATAACAAGGCGAGATCGGGAAAGCAAGGCAAGCTTTCATTTCTCTCATGTCTGTGTGGAAATCAAAGGCATTCAGCATGAAAAATAAGATCCGGATTTTCCACTTCAATGTGAAGTCGGTGCTACTATACGGATCAGTGACCTGACCCGTCACGAAGGCAACTTCGAACAAACTACATACCTTCAACAACATCTGTCTTCGCTCAATACTACTCAAGATCAGATGGCCAGACGGAAGAGATCAGCAACAGGGATCTCTGGAAATGAGCGAACAAACACAGCAGGAACCAATTGGGCAACAAACAGAAATGTAGGTGGATTGGCCATACTCTGAGAAAACAAACCATCAAGTGACATCCATCACACGATAGGCCATCACTCGAGTGGAACCCGAATGGGAAGCGGTGAATTAGTTGGAGAAGGAAGTGATGTGAAGAGGAGATGATGAAAAAATGTGGGCAGACGTGGAGCCAGGTGAAAACGTTTTCAGAGAACCGAACGCAATGGAGACGTGCGGCTGAAGCCCTATGTTCCTCTAGGAACTAAAAGAAACAATAATGTAATAATAATAAAGCTCCCTGCCTCAGTACCTATCAATAGGCTTACTTTTTTATAAACACACCAACGTGTTAACAAATTCTACAAAATATCACGAAATTTATTTCATCAAAATATGGTCGTGCTGCAGTACTTGTTACCAGATTGTCCAATATTTTCTCCGAGATGAAGAACATTACTACAGTCCATGTTAAACACGTGATCTCTCCATCAGTCACCAGGCTCTATCGATCCAGGCTAACGTCACATTGGCTGTCTTTCTACACCGGAAATCTTCAGTCATTTCACTGATAGATGTGTTCTCATTTCACCTGGTCATTAAGAAGCATATTCAACAATGTAACCGATTCAGAAAGCCCCCACCTTCCCATCTTTTCCCGCTATACCTTAAAATCTGTCCAGTAGAGTTCATTTCGCATAAGACATATTCAACAGATAGTTTGCTTTCTGTAGTCAAATTCAAGTAAGCCGTCAGTGGAGTCATTTGAAGCTTCTCAGATGAACGGCACTTCTATTCTTCGAGTTCAGCTGATTGTTAACGATCCATTATTACCTGATGTATGCGATTTCGTCCGAGTAAATGGCATCCAATATTCCCCATCCTCTCAGTTTACGCACAGTTAAAATAATAACAAGTTGAACAGTATTGTGATATTCAGATACATAAAACTCACAAACAACACTTGTCGCAGATTATCACACCCAAATAAACAGCATCTCCTAATCAATTCCAGCACTTCAGACGTGCAAAATAAATGACGTTAATTTGCAAGCAACATATTCTACAAAGTGACAAGCAGCAGTTAAAAGGACTTTACTCAAACTCACCATCATTCTCAGACATACGACGTCTCTGTCGACGACGTAATCTGGCATTCGACAAACGTCGAGGAAGTGAATTCTCCTCAATGAACACACCACTGGATTTCACTAAACACCCATCGAATTGTACTCCATCTTGTTGTGAACATTTGTGTGAAGTATCCGATGATTTCGAAGCGCTCCCATTTGATTCTAACAAAACATTATTCTCCTTCAGTATGTTGTGTTCTGACGAATCACTACCTTCTGATTTCCTTGATTGAAGAATAAGCGAGTTCTTATCATCACTACTCAAGTTGTCTTTAACTGAAGTGACTTGTTTTGAGTCTTTCAATATTGATCGTATATTTTCGTCAGGTATTTCCTTAGACTCACACTTTTCAGGCTTTTCCTCTTGTGGCTGAAAAATAAGAGTACCAGTATCAATTAAAATAGATCAGTATCTCTTAGTTAATTCGGTGTTTACAAAAAGTGAACTCTGATGGCTGTTAAGAACAACTTCAAAACAACAAACATCAACTCATTCTTCGTGTTTAAATTGATATAAGAAAGGAGTTTGAGCACTGTGTTTGAGTATAACTCCACCAAAAGCGACTTTTATCAATAAAAACACACACTCTTGTTTAAAGATTCGGGTTTCAATTTGAAGACAGAAGCACTTAAGGAATAGTCAATAACTAATACCACTCAGGTCAAACACCTATCTGCAATATCTGACAATCCCACACATTTCATTCTCCATGTCACTCGGTGGCAATCTGCTGAATACCTTTCGAAATTTCAGTTCTGTTTGTAACAATTTCACATGAAATCTTTATCCCATACCTACATCCTTGAAAGAATATCATAGCTTGAACATCTTACTTATACATTAAAGGTGGGCGCCAGATAGCAAAAATATCAGAAACAGGAGAAATATACTTCCCGGTCTCATTCAACCATCCAACACAAATAAAATCATCACTTGCCTGGCATTACCTGCACTACTACATTCCTACAGTGTCATACGCGCAACACTAACTTCCACAGCCGAAACTGAAGACAATAACATGTCGCATCAAAAGTGATACACACAACACTTTGATACAAGCAAACGGAACTGCACCGTTTCAGATTACTGGGCATTCCAGCACCTACCGTTTTATACTCGCATCCCAGTTCACAACACAGCAGATTTTTCTTCAAAACATCAGACACACCACGAAGCAACCTTGTCCATATTAAAGACCAAATCCCTAAAGATTCTCTATCTAATTGTGGCTATAATATAAAATGTTTGCTTGGAAAATGATGAGATATACATCAGACAAACATCGTCAGTGAGAAATTAAAATCAGAAGAAATGAACGCGGTAGACCATCTGCTCGACCACTGAGAAATCCAGTTGAGCAAGAAAAGCTTGAAAAATCATCATCTATAGGTCGGCTACACGCTACACTATAGAATCAGGCCACAAAAGTGATTTTGAAAATATTGAAATCATCATCCAGAAAAAGCATTTCAGAAATCACAAAGATCGTTTCACATCATCAGAAGCACTTCATATCAAGTGGAATCCAAATTGCCTGAATAGCAATGATGGACTAAAACAGAATTTGACCTGGTTACAACACCTCCTTCCCCCATGAAGCGACAAAATCAACACAAATGTGATAAGCAATTTCACTATGTAGATACATGCTGCTTTTATAATTTTACACACTCTTCAAATCCAACAGTCAACACCTGGTATTGTTATCTTTACCAATTGACCAACTTGACAACGAAAAATGACCCCAGACTGACGAACGATGATCAAGTTAGTAAACTTTATTTTGATACCATAACAGATGTACTATTACCTTTGTTATTTGGTTTATTGATCTTCATTGTTATTTTGACTTTCAATATGTCCCCTTTAACTTGACCTAAGTTTATTTTCTCACCTCTTAACTCATTGTTATATATATGCTGAGATTTTGTAAATTCCGGTTTAATAATACTTTGATAAAGCTATTAGCATTAAATAGCGAAACGTCAGTAAAAACAACAATATCGTTTTGGTTTTCATTCATTGGGAAATACAAAAACAACCTTCAATATAATGAATGTCATATAACCACTGCTCAATTTTTTTTCAAACTGTTAAGTGTGAACTTGGTTTGGACATATTAATAAAAAGATTCCATATACAGACTTATAAGATATGCAAGCAGACAGAATATATCACATCAAAAATGAACCACGCCTTAAAACTTGAATATTTTATTGTCTAGACTTATGATATGAAAATCCCACCCTCACACTCTACTGAATAAATAATAATTTAGTCTCACAGTAAATTTAACTGACATTTCATATCCACTACGAATTTCATCCATCTAGGGATGATTACTCACAAAAACAAAAATTCAAGGCCCTAACATTTTCAGGATTCCCTGGATTTCAAATCAGACGAAATAATAAACGGGTGAGGAAGAAGTGCTGTACACAGATAAGGAAGACATGGAGTTCAGGAATATCAGTTTGATATCTACGGATTCAGATTCCGCCAATATATTGATTGGTGAAAACATGTCACTCTAATCGGAAGTTCCTGGCGACTTTCTCCAGTCTCAACTAAATTCGTCACATTCAGCTCTAAGAAATTCAAGAAGTAAACAAATACACAAATGAGGTTTCAAGAATAGATGACTAACACCAGTTCTTGTATTAAATCGCAAATTGGACAGAATTAACACATTCACACAATCAGAGAGACACACGCTGTCTGACGAATTTCAAATGGTATTAGAGTTTGTGAAAACATCGTTCATCTTATTCTGTTTTACTGATTGTTAACACATAACCCAAAAAATCTAACAAGATGATGAAACTGTCACAAAACATAATTCACAGACACACCGAGAGGAAACAGGCTGGAATACTACGATTTTTAGCAGCATTTACCAACAATGAAACCATCACATAAAAATCAACTGAGTGAAGTAACATCAAAATACACGAAGCTTGCTGCACACTGAAATGATTGAGGATTTGTGTCTGGTCATCGATAAACCATAACTTTCTGTATTTGCATACTTACAAATTCAAAATTCCCATTGAACCCATTCCCAAAATTCCCACTAATTTCTTATAAGTGCAGAGTTCGAACCTGAGTGACTGTGTGGTAAATTATCGAACTAGACCAATGGGTGATCCATATTTCCACCATTGTCAGTACACGAATACTCTCTCGAAGCTGCATATACACCTTTGGAATGTGTGAGAACAAGTTCACAGCCCATCTTGAAGACTTCCAACTGATAGTAACTAACGTATTAACACTAAACACAGTGTTCTAGAAATGACAAACACTTGGTCAGTGCAATTTGGCCAACAGTATACACTTTGAATTCGTCACTTACAAACAACCGAAAGTGTTACCTACCGGCAACTGAGGAGACGGCATTAAGATGTTTCAGCCAGAAGTAGCCTCATAATATCTAACACAAACATACACACAGTAGAAGTACTACCAGCAAGAGTATTAGTGGCAGCGAAGTAATCCTCGAATAGCGACTACCCAAATTCAGAACATAATCTCAGCAAACAGCGGTTACTGTATACATATATTGGATATAGCCTTCAACAGCACTAGTAGTATACAAAAGACAATACCTCACCCTTGCTTACAGTTGGATCAGAAAACAGATGAAATTACTCAAGAGATTAGGGAAAATATAGAACCCATCAAAATCTGAAGTAAACAAATAAAACCGGTAATGTTAACACAACCTCCATTCAAACCAATGTTCGTTGAGTTACATTCAGTTCACAAAACAGTTCCAATCAGATTCCATCTACACAACGAAGTCCACACAACAGCAATAAACATCCAACCGACGAATACCCAGAGCTCAGTGTTGGAGAATCCAGGTCCTCTAACTCATGTGAGTGACTGTCAACTCCATGTACGCTTGCCATCCAGCCGAAAACTTGCCAATCTCGACTAATAACTCAAAAAGAGTTCAACTAAGCAATCTACAAATTATGAATGGAGAATTCTGAACACAGTCTCCTTTCGATTCAGCCACACAAAAGTGTTCTAGTTGTAAACTGATGGGAAATATGCTGCATGCGTAAATTTCCCAACAGTTCAGCGAGTATTTTGTGAAACCATATTCAGAGATTCAGACACCGTAAATGTGCAGTAGAATTCTGCAAATGCAATTTCGCCGAACGCCCAAAGCGAACAAAACATACGTGCATTTATCAAAAATGCCGTGGTCTACATGCAATCACAATGACAACACAATAAAAGTGGACAAACCAATAATTCTCCAACATGCATATAGCTGCAGAAAAGCCATAAAACAGATAGATAGCATCCACATATGTGCCTAGCTAGCATCAATGTGCACATGACGAACATGACACACTCAATATCTTCAAGTCAGCGGGATAGACTAAAGAAGGACAACATTGATTGACATGAAAATAATTTAACCAAATGCGACAGCACACTTCGAAAATAAAACACAAAAACAGTTAATAAGGGAATAAGATATTATAATAAAAGTAGACGTAGAGTGTCCGAACCACTTCAGTCTATTCTCAGTCACATCACATACAGTTTCTGGACACAAGTTCCTGTGTCCACATCTACACAATCCAACCAATTCAAGCGATTCAGACAAGCAATCCGTCACCGATGAAATAATATACAAACACAATAAATAGTCACTTACCACTTTCACATGCTTCACTTCACTTTCAATTTTCTCTGTCACCGATTTTAGTCCACTCGACGATCCATTGGATACCACTGAGTCATTCCGTTTGTATTCAACACTCTGACCGGTGGTTTGTTCTTCGTCTTCAAAGCTTGAATGATTCCACGAATTGGTACTGTCACAAAAATATAAAATGCACTTTCAATTAGAACATCTACTCACTCAAAACAATATATACATCGAAAGATTTTACTGAATCAACATGATTAGCATCAAGCGAGATTAGGTTCAAATTCACTTTCATGATCTCGGTTAACGTTCTCACTCAGTGTGTTATGTGTATAAGTGAAACACTACTTTGAACTAGGACCTAGATTGCTAACTTCCAAAGGACACTTAAAACAATTAGCAGGCGAATCATCAATATCTACACAGAGTTTATTCACAGAAGACGTTCACTGCGATTTCAAGTAGCAGACTGTCTCAACAGACTTAGTACACCCTCACATTAGCGGCTCAAAGGATGTTGTCTCGGTTACTCTTATCATCGTCGTTTCCTTCTCAGTTTCCACTATCATTCCATAGCGTAAATACTTATTTACAAAACAAGGGTGTATCACGGAAACCTAATTCAGTTCATCTCTCGATTTGCTAACAATAATAAAAATAGTTTACGAGCAACGTCGAATTCGAATGCATTTTTAGAAGGACAAATATTTTTACATGAAACTGTAAGTCTTTAGGATCACCAATGAACGCATTAGTCGCTGAAGTGCAGCTGTAGAATTAAGGCATTCCAATAGAATATAATTTCATATTAGATTTGTTTGTTTGACATAAAACATGGTGATATGGTGTCAATGACTGAACGATGTTTAGAGATCAATTTATTGCTCATAACCGCATCAATGCATCCTGAACGTCCTAACTTGCTTCGTAGAATTCCACTCCCAACTGTACAGACATATGGAAACTCACACTAAAAAAGAGTGCTCTCTTTAAGAAAACAACAAACAGTGTCATATGACGAAGACCAGATTAAGAGAGAAGCAAGGGCCATGGCCTATTGAAATTCATGCTAGTTTCTCAATGTTGCCTAAAACCTCATAAAGAAACCTAGTCGTCAGTACAAAGTGCATCATAAAAATACCTCAGTCTCATCACAACATATGCTGAGTCAAATTAACGTGTAATGACAAAAGCTCATTCTTACTGCGTTTCAAATTATAGATGGTATCGACATAATACGAAAGACATAGATAATTGACGCAGCTGAAAATGTATTACTCACAAATCTAACATTTAACACTGTCATTACTCGGCTGATAGTAAACTTACCGGTCTTTGGTGGCCTCCAGAAAGAGAATGATGTGTTTTCTGATAAATGGATTAGCCAAAACGCGCCTTGCTGATGGTCGTTTCTCAGGTTTCAAGTGCAGCATCGTGCGCATGAGTTCTAAGAGTTCTGGGCTGTATTGAGTGGGCATATCGGGGATCTAATCCAAATTATAAACTTTTTTGTTTCAACTAACTTTTCCGCTTAGAATTTTGTATGACAGTGCATTAAAATTTTTCGCGTTAAAGGCATGACGAAGTGTAGTCATTTCATACAAAACACAACCCAATGCCCATATGTCAGACTAAAAATTAAAACTTTTACATATTTTACCTTGTGGTTATAAGGCTTGTTGGCAAAAAGCTCTGGAGACATATAATACGGAGTCCCAATCAGTGTTGTGGCCATAGAACTAGAGGACTCTAGCACCCTATAGTTGAGAAGTCGAGCAATTTTATTCTCACCTGGCTATCCCAAGATCACCAAGTTTCACTATATTTGTACGTGTTAGGAATATATTTCGGGTTTTCAAGTCTCTATGCAAAACATTTCTTTCGTGCATATACTAGAAAATACTACTTAAATATCAGTGATTCAGCCTACTTGCAGAGCGATAGCCAGCTGAACAAACCACTCAACTAAAAGACGTTCAGGCAGAAGGCTTCCGTTTCTCATCCTTAGTCTTGTATATAAATCACCGCCTTCACAAAATCCCATTGCAATATACAAAAAACCTTGATATTCGAAGGAGGCTTTGTATTGCACTATGTTAGGATGTTTAAATTCAGAAAGGAGTTTGCACTCAAGCTTGGCCGCCTTCCTTTCCTTGTCAGAAGATTTCGTCACATCTATTTTCTTAATAACATACTTTTATTTATTATAAAAACCTTAAACAACTAGATTACATGCTTCCTGTCAACATTATGCCTACACAGCCAAACTTCTCCATAGGATCCTTTCCCAATAGTCTTTATAAATTGATATTCTGTAATAGGCAATTCTGATAGGCCTGGTTCCATCACTTTGAATAAACGCGTAACATACAGACGCTTTGTCACTAGTCTTTCAGTAACTATAACAAATGAAATATCATTATCTCACACGATTTATTATTCTTGTTGAAATTAGTGATTATTCACAGAATTCTAACTTGTTTTTATTTCATCCTCTTGGCACACTTTGGAGTCATGACATGATTAGATCTATAATTGTTGCAATATTATGAGAATAATCTATTCACTCATCGGTTGACGACAGAGTCTTCCAAGGCTTTACATATCGAGTAAGTCCACATACATTGTCAGCTAACACCTCACAGTCCCGGTTAAGGTCTGCACACCGATCCCAGATAAACAGCCTAGTCTTAGAGAATAAGAACGACTTCAGATAATTTCCGCAAATACAGTTTACAGTTTACAATTTATTTGGGATAGTAGGCTATATGCCTGTGTTAATCCTTTCGATTTGTTACACACAAGAGGTCCAATCTCGCCTTGAATGAATCAACGGATGGCGCTGATACGACGTGTTCCGGTAGGGAGTTCCAATGTTTCACAATCCGATGCGAAAAACGGATCTCCAAACGCAGACGATTCGACCGTGGTTTTTGAACCTTGAGGTGATGTCCTCGCAATTGGTTGGTGCTAGAAAGAAGAAATAAATTAGATAAATTTGCTCCAAAATCATTTCTTAGGATACGGTATGCTAGTATTAGGTCACCCCTAAGTCGTCTGTATGACAGTGGAAATAAACCCAGTCGACTTAACCTCTCTTCATATGAGACGGTTGAGAAACCTTTTATTAGCTTAGTTCCTACTCTTTGCACCCTTTCTAATAAGTCTATTTCGTATTTGAAACACGGGCTCGCTGCCTGGATCCCATATTCCAAATGAGGTCTAATATAAGTCGGATATAATATACGAAATATTTCAGCGTCAAAATTCGCAAAAGCTTTGCGTATGGCCCATAATATTCGAAAACCCTTAGTGGCTGCAGCTCTACAGTTTGTTGCTGTTTTCAAGTCATGCTGCACAACCACTCCCAAGTCCTTGTACTCAGTAACCACTGGAAGAGTAATGCCATTCATTGAGTAATTGTGCACGTGACTATGAGATACATGCATAACTACACTCTTGCTTAAGTTAATCTCCAAGGCCCAGTGCTTACACCAATCACTTAACAAGTTTAAATCTTCCTGCAAAGCAAGTTGATCACTGTCATCATGTAAAGCCCTCCATATCTTGATGTCGTCAGCAAACAGTAAGCAGGATGACCTAACTACCGATGGAATCTCATTAACATAAATCAGGAAAAGAAGTGGGCCTAGAATTGTACCCTGAGGAACGCCACTCTTAACCGATTCCCATGTTGATAAAACCCCGTTAACTCGTACTCTTTGTCTTCTGTCCTTTAGAAAGTCTTGAATCCAGTCGGCAACCACTTTATTGATTCCCATACTACCTAACTTTACTAGAAGACCTAAATGAGAAACCCTGTCAAACGCCTTGCTAAGGTCGATGAATATGGCATCCACCGGTATATTAGCATCAGCTGAGCTTGCCCAACTTTCTCTGGCCAAAAGAAGGTTGGTCAAGCAAGAATGACCTGCTCTAAAACCATGCTGTTCCACAGCGAAAAGTTTGTTCCCTTCAATGAACTGAATGATAGCATCACGAATTATTCTTTCTAGTAGTTTAACAACAATACTGGTCAAACTAACAGGACGATAGTTCTGAACTAAGTTTCTAGATCCGGTTTTGAAGACCAGACTAATGATGGCATCTTTCCAGTCTCTTGGACATTTAGACTGGTCCAGAGACATATTGAAGATTACCGACAATGGCTCGGCTATGTTTTCAGCCAATGCTGTTAAAATAAGTGGGTGGAGTTCATCAGGGCCACTGGACTTACCAGGATTGAGCCTTAGAAGGTACTTTAGGACAGTATCCTTTCCAATGTATAAGGGTGCCATTTTCAAGTTACCTTCTGGAAAAGTTACAAAGCTGGTATCAATATTATCAGAGAATACTTGACTAAAGTGCTTGGACAAAGCCTCCGCCTTAGTCAAGTTATCCTTAGCCATGTTTGTCTGGTCATCTTCAAGCATAAGAGGTGGGATAGCATCACTTTTACGTGTTCTTCTCTTGATATATGAGAAGAGTCTTTTTGGGCAGCCTGGTGAACTTTTGACTAACTGGGTTTCGTAAGCTATCCTTGATTGGTGAATCAAAGTTTTACACTGGTTTCTGGTTTCACAGTATTTCAGCCGGAACTGCTGTAGCCCAGTAGAAACAAAGAGATTCCAGAACCTTTTTCTCCGTCTCAGGAGTGTTATAGCTTGTCTATTTATCCATGGTGGCCGGTTTGTTGGTCTTTTAGGAACCCTCCAGGGAATGAAATCAGTGGTAACCCTCTCAAGTGTATTCTTAAATCTATCCCATTCATCTTCAATGGATGAGACAATATTGACTGACCAGTCGGTAGTTGAAGCACGCTCCTTTATAGCGACTATGTCAGCATGCCAAACACTAGGTCGGGATTTGGGTTGGAAACTGACTAAATTGCCAACCCTTAAGTTAAAATCTAACACCCCATGATCACTGTTTGCTAGAGGTGGATGAATAACTAGACCATCCACGTCGTCGTTGTCATGAGTAAGCGCTAAGTCCAGCAAGGAAGATCCTTGGGTAGAACCGAATCTTGTACTACCTAAAACATGTTGTGTCAGGGCATTTTCCATGGTAGTCAAGAGTAACCGGCTGTCAAACTTATTAGTGGATCCTGGAGATGTGCCAGCTATCCAGTCTATATGAGGTGCATTAAAGTCCCCTAGAATAAGACAGCTACTGTGTTTACTCCATTGTTTGAGGTGATCTAAAATGAAGTCATCACACTGACAAAAGCGACTTCTATACAGAACACCAATGAGTAAAGTGCCAGTTGCAAAGCTTACTTCACAGCTAATTACCTCACTTGTCCCACTGTCATGCGCTTCAGATTTCACGGAACGAACATGTAGGGAGTTGTTGATGTACAGAGCAACCCCGCCACCTCTACGACCCTTAACCCTGTCGCTGCGCAAGCAACTAAATCCGCATAGCTCAGGTGTGTCATCTAATCCAGAAATCAGCCATGTTTCAGTAATGGCCACAATACTTGGGATAAGGTCTTCCACTAATACACCTAGCTCATGAAATTTGTTCCCGATACTACGTATATTAGTGTACACTACCTTCAGGCTTCCTATGCGGTCCGGCTTATCCACACAGGTCTTGGAATCATACGTTTCCAAGACCTGACTATTTGAAAACCCACCAGTTTAAGGTTAGTCTCACCATTTTTACGTCTTGGTTCTAGCTGGGACAAAACTTCTTTTCGTTTTAGTCTGTCTTCAAGAGATAAATCAGGTCTGACTGAAATTCCTGACCCGGAAAGGTTGTGTACATTAGCCAGTAGATGATTCCGTTCATCAGGAGAACCTAAGACTACTGTAAGCAATCTACGCTGATTAGAACATTCATCATCTCTTTTGCCTATTCTAATCAGCTTTTTAATCGATACTCCAGGGAAATTCGCTGGAAGCATCTTCCTTATAATACTACTCACTAATTTAAGGTCGTGATCGTGCCTTTTTACGGGATCAGATTCTTTGGACTCTTCTAAATTTCCAACAATTATGTTAGAGTCTAAGGAGAGCTTGTCGTGTTTAGCAGTGGCTACGTCTTTTCTCACCACTACTGATGCAGCCTGGCTACAGGTAACAGACGTTTGCTTACCATCAGTATTACTATGTTTCTTTCGATTGCTTATTTTCGTTACCCACTGATCATCTGCCTGCAGTTGCTTCTCAGGGCTCCTGCAGTTTTTGATGGTACAATCGAGATCAGTGTCTGCACCACCTTCATGGTGAACTTCGCTTACAGTGTTTTCTGGTGCTGAGATGCTGTTTGCAGCTTCCGTTCTGTTACCCTTTCGCTTACTAAGACGCTTCGAACGCCTAGTAGGTTTTACTTCCGGGGTAACTGGGATAGTAATCGCCGGTGTGGTAACATTCATGATGGCACTTGCAGCGTCATCTTCAGACGGGCAGTCTGTGTCACTATTACTCGCCACGCTATCATCAGGAAGTTCCATGGCCTTAGACAGTAGTTCGTGAGCCTCCCTTATCAAAGTCATCTTTGGGGAGCAGCACATTCTGCACATCCAGTTGGATGTTGGAGCAATACAACGTTTGTATGCAGTTGGACGTAATCCAGTACACATCTTATGATACCACTTTTTACAGTTATTACACTGTACTCCATCATCTACCAAAAAGTAACACTCCACCCTATTACATTTATGTGGTACCTTTGACATAATGAACTAATGGAACTGCCAAGACAATTCACCCAATATAGACTATATAAATGTTTAAAATAAAAACTTAACAGACAAAAGTCAAGTTAAAGTTTTTTAAATGTTCGCGAAGTGAATAACACAACAAAAACAGCAATTTGTCAAATACGTGAAAATACGTGAGAAAAGCACTCCCTTTTTCAAACAGCGCGCGTTAATATATTTGATTTCTTGACGCTTCCTTCTTCCGTTCTATAGCGGCTATAGGTTTCTTGTGACTTCCAGCGCGTTGAATCTATCCCCTCGACTTCCTTAGCCCTGCAGAACTCAGCTCCGAAGGGATCTTATGATTCGTAGTGGGCTCGTTCCTTTTTCTTGAATCTGCTGAAATCACTACCCTTCCCTAGAGCTGGAAGAGTAATGTTTTCTCACCTCTGTTGTCAGACTTTACAAGCTGGATATGGTACTGTTCGAAGTTAATATGGCATGGACTGAAACAAATGCTTGACTCAAAACCTTCCACATCGTTCTGTTCTTTAGAAGAAGTCTTATAGCATCTGTAGACGTATAATACAGAACCTGCTCAATTCAGGCCCTGAAGAATGTTACTTAATAATAATTTATATTTTTATATTAACATAAATTCATGCCATCTTCGTTTTCAACCCGTAGTCGTAGGCATAGGATAACCAACCAATATTGAGGTAACTACTACGTTCACAAGGGATAGTAAGCTGTTTTAGAAAAGTAAAGATGCTAAGGTGAATCATTAAAGTGTAATGAAATAGGTAAATGCAATGTATCATTAATATATGCATTCATAAAGGAAATACAATGGGAGACTATAATCCCTAGGTTGACCAAGTTCCTTTGCAATGTATAATGCTACCCTATAGGTTTTACTATCATGTTGTCCACTTTTGGTTTAATACAATTATCCACAAGCCGGTTGTTTTAATTTCATACCTTTTTGTGTTTGGTGCACAACCGTACCCTATAGAGAATAGGAATAAAATAAATCGAATCAAATTCATAGTGTTATAAAATGTTAGGTTTAGTGGAATATAATGAGCAAGTGAAGACGTTAGTAGAAAATGAATAAGATGAGACATTGTTAAGTGATATTCAAAGATACGAAAAAGGAAAGCGTGTTAATTTATAAGATGCACCATAAATCTGTGCAGAGCCCACGTGGTCGCATCTTAGCAATAGGCTGACCGAATGGTATATGTTTAAAGGTAGAAGCATGATCTGTCTAGGCGATCATTACTATCTTATTCAAGATAAAGATTCAAGCCCCCATAGAAATCTCGAGCCGTCAAACTGCATATTTCTGTTCCTGCAGAATGGGGCGATTCACCTTAGTGTCCACTACCATAACTACTGATCAGCATGCGCCACCCTCTCTCCTTTTATGATGTTAGGTTCTGATTGTTATGGCTACAGCAAATATATTGCTTGGTTCCAGAAACGTTCGTACCACACATTCCATTTCCCTAGCTTTCTTAGTGAGTGCTTCCAATAAATCTCCACATACAGATTTATGGACATATTATATATGTGTGCATGCATCCTAATGAACATATTAGTTTATAAGATGTTAAACACTTAAAGAGTAAAAAGAATAGGTTTTGTGAATAGTGGAGCAAGATTCAGCAGAACACTATAGTTAGAGTTCAATGTAGGTAGTATGAACTGAAGGTAAAGTCGGTTGGCAGGACTCATTGTACTCAATTATCATGACAGTCTCTTATATAGTAAACATTTGACATTGCAAAGTAACCTATCTACGCATATTATAAAAGATATTAACACAGAACCAACAGAATTTTAACATTTGGTTAACAATACTGCAGTGTGTGTATACTGAAGAAGCGTAGTTTGTCTTACAGGGAGCCGTAAAGTAAATCAAACTATATATGATAAGAGTGTCATCAATATTATAATTCGTATTATCAAAGAATACATTAAACTCAATAGTTGAGTGTTATAAGGGAAACAAGCGTGGCAAAGCAAAAGAACATTTGCTGCATAAATATTTTAATCATTTTAAGTATTGTAATGACAATCAAATTTCAAGAATTGATTATGCATAATTACTAAGTATTATTATATTAGTATTGGGACTAGTGTACTTTCCGTAGTCAAATACTGAAATGTCATTGTCTCACCACTCTACCAGCAGTTGTGGTCTTTTAGACCGGCTAGGGTGGGCATGTTCATATGTTTTCCTAGGCTCCTTTTAAAACTGTCAGGCTTTTCACAGGATCTAATCTCAGAGGGTAGCTGGTTCCAATCACTGACATGCAGATCGGACTGCACTGAAGTTCACATAGATGTACTAGAAAGTGTGAATTCATATCTTAAGAAGGCGCTTCTCGAAATCCTGAGTTATCTACCCTAGTGTGCAAGATAAAAGTCCGAGTAAATGTAACCAGTTTTATTTACAAAAACGAACATGAAAACCTTATGCGTTTTACATAAGTCAACCTAAGGACATTATAAATGAACTAAGAAAAATACAGGAGGTGTTCATCCATCAATTAAATCGTATTTAAATGGAGCAGTCATATTCACAGTAATGCAAATGCACAGGTGAGTTGGAATGTTGCAATAGTATATTCGTTGTATCCGTGTCCATAAAGTCGACTTTGGTTTAGTATTCTGATTAATATTGAGCAGAGGTAAAAATGATAACACTCGATCCAAAGTAGCGAGCATTGCAAGAAATTTGTAATCACCGTTAATACTGCTACTAGCTCCCTGCGTTCCTGGTAAAATATAGGGCTCCAACGCCACACATCAACCACATCCAGATTCCTGCCATCATTTCCATTGACGTACACGAGCGCCCACAAACTTTCGTCTCCCTGTCACATGATACCCTTCTTGTCATCACTGGACGCCCAAACTAAAATTTCCGATTCGGGTTCCATCACACGGCCTGCCAATGGACACCACATCACGGTACCCTAAACTAAGAGAGCTTACCTGATTTGTTAAAGACAAATAACATTCTTCAGGGCCTGAATTGAGCAGGTTCTGTATTATACGTCTACAGATGTTATAAGACTTCTTCTAAAGAACAGAACGGTGTGGAAGGTTTTGAGTCAAGCATTTGTTTCAGTCCATGCCATATTAACTTCGAACAGTACCATATCCAGCTTGTAAAGTCTGACAACAGAGGTGAGAAAACATTACTCTTCCAGCTCTAGGGAAGGGTAGTGATTTCAGCAGATTCAAGAAAAAGGAACGAGCCCACTACGAATCATAAGATCCCTTCGGAGCTGAGTTCTGCAGGGCTAAGGAAGTCGAGGGGATAGATTCAACGCGCTGGAAGTCACCAGAAACCTATAGCCGCTCTAGAACGGAAGAAGAAAGCGTCAAGAAATCAAATATATTGGGCATTGAAAGGAGTATTTGCGGAAATTATCTGAAGTCGTTCTTATTCTCTAAGACTAGGCTGTTTATCTGGGATCGGTGTGCAGACCTTAACCGGGACTGTGAGGTGTTAGCTGACAATGTATGTGGACTTACTCGATATGTAAAGCCTTGGAAGACTCTGTCGTCAACCGATGAGTGAATAGATTATTCTCATAATATTGCAACAATTATAGATCTAATCATGTCATGACTCCAAAGTGTGCCAAGAGGATGAAATAAAAACAAGTTAGAATTCTGTGAATAATCACTAATTTCAACAAGAATAATAAATCGTGTGAGATAATGATATTTCATTTGTTATAGTTACTGAAAGACTAGTGACAAAGCGTCTGTATGTTACGCGTTTATTCAAAGTGATGGAACCAGGCCTATCAGAATTGCCTATTACAGAATATCAATTTATAAAGACTATTGGGAAAGGATCCTATGGAGAAGTTTGGCTGTGTAGGCATAATGTTGACAGGAAGCATGTAATCTAGTTGTTTAAGGTTTTTATAATAAATAAAAGTATGTTATTAAGAAAATAGATGTGACGAAATCTTCTGACAAGGAAAGGAAGGCGGCCAAGCTTGAGTGCAAACTCCTTTCTGAATTTAAACATCCTAATATAGTGCAATACAAAGCCTCCTTCGAATATCAAGGTTTTTTGTATATTGCAATGGGATTTTGTGAAGGCGGTGATTTATATACAAGACTAAGGATGAGAAACGGAAGCCTTCTGCCTGAACGTCTTTTAGTTGAGTGGTTTGTTCAGCTGGCCATCGCTCTGCAAGTAGGCTGACTCACTGATATTTAACTAGTATTTTCTAGTATATGCACGAAAGAAATGTTTTGCATAGGGACTTGAAAACCCGAAATATATTCCTAACACGTACAAATATAGTGAAACTTGGTGATCTTGGGATAGCCAGGTGAGAATAAAATTGCTCGACTTCTCAACTATAGGGTGCTAGAGTCCTCTAGTTCTATGGCCACAACACTGATTGGGACTCCGTATTATATGTCTCCAGAGCTTTTTGCTAACAAGCCTTATAACCACAAGGTAAAATATATAAAAGTTTTAATTTTTAGTCTGACATATGGGCATTGGGTTGTGTTTTGTATGAAATGACTACACTTCGTCATGCCTTTAACGCGAAAAATTTTAATGCACTGTCATACAAAATTCTAAGCGGAAAAGTTAGTTGAAACAAAAAAGTTTATAATTTGGATTAGATCCCAGATATGCCCACTCAATACAGCCCAGAACTCTTGGAACTCATGCGCACGATGCTGCACTTGAAACCTGAGAAACGACCATCAGCAAGGCGCGTTTTGGCTAATCCATTTATCAGAAAACACATCATTCTCTTTCTGGAGGCCACCAAAGACCGGTAAGTTTACTATCAGCCGTGTAATGACAGTGTTAAATGTTGGATCTGTGAGTAATACATTTTCAGCAGCCTCAATTATGTATGTCTTTCTTATTATGTCGATACCATCTATAATTTGAAACGCAGTGAGAATGAGCTTTTGTCATCACACGTTAATTTGACTCAGCATATGTTGTGATGAGACTGAGGTATTTTTATGATGCACTTTGTACTGACGACTAGGTTTCTTTATCAGGTTTTAGGCAACATTGAGAAACTAGCATGGATTTCAATAGGACAGAGCCCTTCCTTCTCTCTAAATCTGGTCTTCGTCATATGACATTGTGTGATGTTTTCTTAAAGAGAGAGTGTGAGTTTCCGCACTTCTCTACGGATGGGTTTTGAATTCTACGAAGCAAGTATTTGTGAGCCATATATTGATCTCCAAACATCGTCCAATTATTGCACCATGTCACAGTGCTTAACATCAAACAAACAAATCTAATAATTCTGCGCCTACACTTCAGCGACTAAGCCCTTCATTCGTGATCCTAAAAACTAACAATTTCATGTTAAAAGATTTGTCCTTCTAAAAAAGCATTCGAATTCGAAGTTGCTCGGAAACTACTTTTATTATTGTTAGCGAATCGAGGGATGAACTGAATTAGGTTTCCGTGATACACCCTTTGTTTTGTAATTAAGTATTTACGCCATGGAGTGGTAGTGGAAACTGAGAAGGAAACGACGATGATAAGAGTAATCGAGACAACATCCTTTGTGCCGCTAATGTGAGGGTGTACTTAATCCATTGAGACAGTCTGCTACTTGAAATCACAGTGAACGTCTTCTGTGAATAGACTCTGTGTATATATTGATGATTCGCCTGCTAATGGTTTTAAGTGTCCTTTGGAAGTTAGCAGTTTAAGTCCTAGTTCAAAGTAGTGTTTCACTTATACACATAACACACTGAGTGAGAACGTTAACCGAGATCGTGAAAGTGAATTTGAACCTAATCTTGCCTGATGCTAATCATGTTGATTCAGTAAAATCTTTCGATGTATATATTGTTTTGAGTGAGTAGATTTTCTAATTGAAGGTGCATTTTATATTTTTGTGACAGTACCAATTCGTGGAATCATTCAAGCTTTGAAGACGAAGAACAAAGCACCGGTCAGAGTGTTGAATACAAACGGAATGACTCAATGATATCCAATGGATCGTCAAGTGGACTAAAATCGGTGACAGAGAAAATTGAAAGTGAAGTGAAGCATGTGGAAATGGTAAGTGACTATTAATTGTGTTTGTATATTATTTCATCGGTGATGGATTGCCTGTCTGAATCGCTTGAATTGGTTGGATTTTGTAGATGTGGACACAGGAACTTCTGTGCGGAAACTGTATGTGATGTGACTGAGAATGTACTGAAGTTGTTCGGACACCCTACTCCTACTTTTATTATAATATCTTTTTCCCTTTTTAACTGCTTTTGTGTTTTATTTTTGAAGTGTGCTGTTACATTTGGTTAAATTATTTTCATGTCAATCAATGTTGTCCTTCTTTAGTCTATCCTGCTGACTTGGAGATTTTGAGTGTGGCATGTTCGTCATGTACATCTTGATGCTAGCTAGGCACATATGTGGATGCTATCTATCTGTCTTATGGTTTTTCTGCAGCTATATGCATGTTGGAGAGTTATTGCTTTGTTCAGTTTTATTGTGTTATCATTGTGATTGCGTGTAGACCATGGCATTTTTCATAGATGCACTTATGTTGTGTGCTCTTTGGGCATTTGCCAAATTGCATTTGTAGAATTCTACTGCATATTTACAATACCTGAATTAGTGGGATATGCTATCACAGAGTACTCGTTGAACTGTTGAGAAATTTTGTCATGGAGCATTTTTTCCGTCAGTTTACAGCTATGAAACTTTTGTGCGGCGGAATCGAAACGAGACTGTGTTCAGAATTCTCCATTCATAGTTTGTAGATTGCTTAGTTGAACTTGTAGTACCCCTATACCAACTATAAACATACGTTTTTAATTTAATTTGCATACTCATATTATATGTTTACACATACCGATTTTATATGTACTTCTTAAACATTTGCCAATTTACTGTTGAACGTTACCTTGATACTTTTTGGAAATTTGACTACGGCTATAATACACGATTACACTCTTCACAAGTGCCTTCTGATTTTACGTTGTGGGCGTCGAGTAGCCACAACGTCTGCGCACATTGATAAACGTGAAGAAGTACTAGGAAATACGTGTACGCTCATTTAGTCAAATAGAACACGCAATAAATTGGTGAGCCCCGACGATAACTTGCTGATCCCGACGACAAATTGCTGACTCCGACGACGACTTTTGACCTCGACGCGTTGTTACACTTACTGGATTATTAAAACTCTAACTTTCGCGGATTTATATATTTATTAAACAATTCGAACTCATTTTTGTGTTTGCTCATAGCACAACCTGCAGTAATTTGTGGTAAGCACCTGCATTGCATTTTTTCTGTTTTGCCATATTCTTATTGTGCACAAATTTTGCCATTTTGTTACTCTTAAACCATTTTTTTTACGAATTGTACCATGTCTTCCAATACCTCTAATAATTTAGAGCTGGGATCTGTTAGTACTATCTCTCTTTCTGTACCAGTTTTTAAGCCCAGAGACCCTCATCTTTGGTTTGCTCGACTGGAACATTATTTGGCTAGCAATAAGCTAACGTCACAGACAGCTAAATTTGGCATTTTGAGTACAGTACTACCAGACGAAGTCGCCGAGCAGGTACGGCAATACATCGTTCAACCCAGCACAGAAGCGCCTTACGACAAGTTGAAGGAAGAGGTACTGCGATGCACTTCGCTTTCGGATAGGCAAGCACTCGATCGCCTGTTAAGCAATGCTGAGTTAGGGGATAAAACCCCATCGCAACTCATGAGGCATATGCAAAGCCTAGTTGCCGGAAGAGAAATCGATAAACGTGTCTTTTACCAAATATGGCTACGAAGACTTCCCGCAAACATCCAGCAGGTTCTTGCTTTCGGAGACGACGACATTGACATAGAAAGGCTCACCGAAATCGCGGATCGCATGTACGAGAGGTCAACACCTCAATCTGTCGCTTCCACTAGCAGAATACCAGACACTCATGATAGAATACAGACTCTAGAACACAAAGTCGACACCTTACTGAGTCAGTTAGCAAAACTGACCACACGCACACAACCAAGCCGTTCTAGAAGCTCGTCCCGTCGACGTCTTTCTCGATCCCCTAGCACGTCACGACAACGCGATAATATTTGCTGGTATCACCGTAGTTATGGAAGCAAAGCACGACGGTGCCGTTCACCTTGCAATTTTCAGACTAAACCAAAAGATATATCGTCATGTGTAAAAAATACTGTTGGCAATCTACGATCTAACAGTCGTTTGTTTTATGTAACAGATAAAAATACCGGTACTACATTCTTAGTTGACACAGGAGCAGAGGTGAGTGTTCTCCCTCCGTCTACACAGGAACGTCAGCATCCTGACCCAGCAGTTACGCTCCAAGCTGTTAATCAGTCCAGTATTGTTACATATGGAACTAAACGAATGACTTTAGATTTTGGTTTAAAGAATACCTACACTTGGTCTTTCATCATTGCAGACGTCCCATCCCCAATCCTCGGTATTGATTTTCTGCAGCAACACAAACTGTTAGTTGATCCGATAAGCCCCAAGCTAATAGATTCGCTCAATAAAACGTACATTGCTGGTACGATTAGCCGTGCATCATCACTGAACTTGATGGTCACACGCACACCAGCATCTCCATATACCAATTTGGTAAATCAGTTTCCTGACCTTTTAAAACCTTCTTTTCGAGGAACAGAACCGAAGCATCATGTGGTTCATCATATTAAAACCACTGGACCACCAGTTTTTGCACGTCCACGACGCCTTGACCCATATCGACTTAAAATCGCCAAAACAGAGTTCGATAAAATGCTAGAGCTTGGTGTTATTCGACCGTCCAACAGCTCTTGGTCTTCACCGCTTCACATGGTACCAAAAAAGTCTTCTGGTGAAATACGACCGTGTGGTGATTATCGAGCTTTAAACAAGCAAACGGTACCTGATAGATACCCAATACCACACATCCACGATTTCGCTAGCAACTTACCAGATGTTAAAGTTTTCTCTAAAATCGATCTCGTCCGAGCGTATCATCATATCCCCATCCACCCGGATGACGTTCCGAAAACTGCCATTACCACACCATTCGGTTTATATGAATTCGTACGCATGCCCTTCGGACTTATGAACGCCGCTCAGACATTCCAACGCCTAATTGACCAAGTACTCCGTGGTCTCCCTTTCGTCTACGCATACATCGATGACTTACTAATTGCAAGTGCAGACGAAGCCGAGCATTTGAAACATGTGAAGACAGTGTTTGAAAGACTGAACCAATACGGAATGACTATCAACTTAGACAAGTGCGAATTTGGTAAGACCTCCCTGAAATTTCTCGGTCATTTAATCGATAGCCAAGGAATCAGACCAGTCCCTGATGACGTACAAGCTATCAAAGATTATCCATTACCAGATTCTTTTAAGAAATTACGACGATTTTTGGGTCTCGTTAATTTTTACCGGCGTTTTATACCGAACTGTGCCAAAGCTTTACAACCATTAACCGATTGCTTACGTGGACATAGTCGTTCATTCCATTTGCCTGCAGAAGCTGTTAAAGCATTCGAAAATGTCAAACAATTGTTAAATGACAAGACACTCTTGGTCAGACGTCAAAATGACGCTCCTCTGTCTCTCATGACCGACGCTTCAGACGTTGCCATCGGGGCAGTTTTACAACAGCAAGTACACGGCGAATGGCAACCCCTAGCATTCTTTTCGAAACGACTGAATCCTACTCAATGCCGCTATAGCACTTTTGGTAGAGAGTTATTGGCTGTTTATTTAGCAATCAAACACTTTCGACATATGCTGGAAGGTACAGCTTTTACTGTCTTTACAGACCACAAAGCTCTAACGAAAGCCTTATCAGCAAAACAGGATAACTACTCTCCGCGTGAACTACGACATCTCGAGTTTATATCTCAGTTCACCTCCGATCTGCGACACGTAAAGGGTAAAAACAGTGAAGTGGCAGACGCTTTATCACGTGTGCACATTGACAACATTGTATGCCCAGACATCGAATACGAACGTCTCTCAAACCTACAACGAGATGATGCCGAACTAAAAAAGATCATGTCTTCTAAAACAACATCTTTAAAGCTAGACGCAATTCCTTTTGGCACGACAAAAATAATCTGCGACACCTCTACAGGTAAATATCGACCCTTCGTTCCAGCAGTTATGAGACATACAGTATTCGAGAAGTTACATAACTTGTCTCATCCCGGTGTCAGCGCTACTATCAAACTAATAAAAGAAAGATTTATTTGGCCGAACATTAATAGCGATGTTAAGAAGTGGACACGAAATTGCTTGTCTTGTCAAAGAGTCAAAATCAACCGTCATACCAATGCACCACTTGGTCGTTTTCCTAATCCCGACTCTAGATTTGAACATATACATGTAGATATAGTTGGTCCACTGCCTCCTTCCAATGGTTTCAACTATATTCTAACTTGTATAAATAGATTCACTCGTTGGCCGGTAGCAGTTCCAATAACCGACGTCTCCGCTGAAACAGTAGCTAAAGCTTTGGTCGAAAACTGGATAGCTAATTTTGGTGTCCCATCCATTATCACTACGGACAGAGGTGCTCAGTTTGAAAGCCGACTTTTTCAACAGCTAACTGAATTACTGGGCATTAAACGAATACGAACAACCGCCTACCATCCTAGTTCCAATGGTATGGTTGAACGACTTCATCGACAACTCAAAGCTTCGCTCGCTGCTTCTTTGACTCAAAACGACTGGTCAACCAAACTCCCACTGGTACTGCTTGGTATACGATCTGCTCTAAAGAAAGATATTGGCTGCTGTGTTTCCGAACTAGTCTATGGAACAACATTACGACTACCAGGAGAATTTTTCACCCCAGGTAACCAAGTTCCACAAGATATGACTGGTTATGTGCAGCAGCTAAAACAACACATGAACGAGCTCAAGATATCACTTCCACGCCAGCAGGAACGAACGTCATACATCCCACCACAACTGACAGATTGCACTCACGTCTTCGTCAGGAGAGAGGGTGTACAACGACCACTTCAACCCGCTTATGATGGCCCATTCAAATTTCTAAATAGAAACGATAAAGTTATCACGATAGAACGACTGAATAAAGCAGAAGCCATCAGTGTCGACAGAGTCAAACCAGCGTTCATCGACGATTTCGAAGACAACGATGAAGATCAGCTGAACGACGTGCCAACATCTACATCCACGCAAGCTTCAACGTCGCCAGAGAAACCTATGAAAACTACACGCTCTGGTAGGAGAGTTCATTGGCCTAAACGTTATGTGCAAATCATCAAAATATAACTTATTACGAATTTTCATTTTTATTATCTTTATTCGTAATTGTCATTTGACTACACATTTAACTGATTAATATCTTCATACGTCAATCACGTCACTACTATGTTAACATTGATATTTCCTGTATTATTACATTTAATCATATAGCGCTTAATATTCACGTATCGTTTCCGTATACAGACTACAGATCCCCGGCCGATTGTATCATTCCTTATATATTCTACCACGATCATCAATCCTATTTTTTCTTTTATTATCGCATTTATTATCGGCCTTATTGACCGCATTAAATTGCTCATTTTTTTCAGCTTAGTAAATCGCTTTCTATGTACTATCGCTGCTACGTATTACGCTGACGCATTTTATTGTCGAACACTTAAATGTATTTTTTTTATATTTCAGTGTTCTGGTGGGGGAATTATGTAGTACCCCTATACCAACTATAAACATACGTTTTTAATTTAATTTGCATACTCATATTATATGTTTACACATACCGATTTTATATGTACTTCTTAAACATTTGCCAATTTACTGTTGAACGTTACCTTGATACTTTTTGGAAATTTGACTACGGCTATAATACACGATTACACTCTTCACAAGTGCCTTCTGATTTTACGTTGTGGGCGTCGAGTAGCCACAACGTCTGCGCACATTGATAAACGTGAAGAAGTACTAGGAAATACGTGTACGCTCATTTAGTCAAATAGAACACGCAATAAACTCTTTTTGAGTTATTAGTCGAGATTGGCAAGTTTCCGGCTGGATGGCAAGCGTACATGGAGTTGGCAGTCACTCACATGAGTCAGAGGAGCTGGATTCTCCAACACCTAGCTATGGGTATTCTCTGGTTGAGTATTTATTGCTGTGTGGACTTTGTTGTGTGGATGGAATCTGACTGAAACTCTTTCGTGGACTGAGTGTAACTCAATCAACACTGATTGGAATGGATAGGGTGTTAGCATTACTGGTGTTATGTGTTTACTAGAGATTGTGATGGGTTCTACATTTTCCCGAACCTCTTCAGCAATTTCATCCTTTTTCTGGTCCGACTATGAGAAAGGGTGAGGTTTTGTCTTTTGTATACTACTAGTGCTGTTGAAGGCTATATCCGACATATGTATACAGTAACCGCTGTTTGCTGAGATTATGTTCTGAATTTGGGTAGTCACTATTCGAGGATTACTTCGCTGCCACTAATACTCTTGCTGGTAGTACTTCTACTGTGTGTATGTTTGTGTTAGATATTATGAGGATACTTCTGGCTGAAACATCTTGATGCCGTCTCCTCAGTTGCCGGTAGGTAACACTTTCGGTTGTTTGTAAGTGACGAATTCAAAGTGTATACTGTTGGCCAAATTGCACTGACCAAGTGTCTATCATTTCTAGAACACTGTGTTTAGTGTTAATACGTTAGTTACTATCAGTTGGAAGTCTTCAATATGGGCTGTGAACTTGTTCTCACACATTCCAAAGGTGTATATACAGCTTCGACAGAGTATTCGTGTACTGACAATGGTGGAAATATGTATCGCCCATTGGTGAAGTTCGATAATTTACCACACAGTCACTCAGGTTCGAACTCTGTACTTATAAGAAATTAGTGGGTTCAATGGGAATTTTGAATTTGTAAGTATGCGAATACAGAAAGTTATGGTTTATCGATGACCAGACACAATTCCTCAATCAATCAGTGTGCAGCAAGCTTCGTGAATTTTGATGTTACTTCACTCAGTTAATTTTTATGCGACGATTTCATCGTTGGTAAGTGCTGCCAAAATTCGGTGAAATTCAGCCTGTTTCCTTTCGGTGTGTCTGTGGATTATGTTATGCGACAGTTTCATCATCTTGTTAGATTTTTTGGTTTCCGTGTTAACAATCAGTAAAATAGAATACGATATACGATGTTTTCATAATCTATAAGACTATTTGAATTTCGTCAGACATCAAGTGTCTCTCTGATTGTGTGAATTTGTTATTCCTGTTCAGTTTGCGATTTAATACAAGAACTGGTGTTAGTCATCTATTATTGAAACCTCAATTGTGAACTTGTCTACTTCTTGAAGTTCTTAGAGCTGAATGTGACGAATTTAGTTGAGACTGGAGAAAGTCGCCAGGAACTTCCGATTAGAGTGACATGTTTTCACCAATCAATATATTGGCGGAATCTGAATCCGTAGATATCAAACTGATATTCCTGAACTCCATGTCTTCCTTATCTGTGTACAGCACTTCTTCCTCACCCGTTTATTATTTCCTCTGATTTGAAATCCAGGGAATCTTGAAAATGTTGGTGCCTTGAATTTTCGTTTTTTTGAGTAATCACCCCTGGATGGGTGAAATTCGTAATGGATATGAAATGTCAGTTAAATTTACTGTGAGACTAAATTATTATTTATTCAGTAGAGTGTGAGGGTGGGATTTTCAAATCACAAGTCTAGACAATAAAATATTCAAGTTTTAAGGCGTGGTTCATTTTTGATGTGATATATTCTGTCTCCTTGCATATCTTATAAGTCTGTATGTGGAATCTTTTTATTAATATGTCCAAACCAAGTTCACATTTAACAGTTTGAAAAAAAACTTGAGTATTGGTTAAATTATATTCATTATATTGAAGGTATATTTGTATTTCCCAATGAATGAAAACCAAAACGATATTATTGTTTTTACTGACGTTTCGCTATTTAATGCTAATAGCGTTACGAAAGTATGATTAAACCAGAATTTACAAAATCTCAGCTCATATATATAACAAAGAGTTAAGTGGTGAGAAAATAGACTTAGGCAAGTTAAAAGGACATATTGAAACTCAAAATAACAAAGAAGATCACTAAACCAAATAACAAAGGTAATAGTACATCTGCTATAGTATCAAGACATAGTTTACTAACTTGATCATCGTTCCTCAGTATGGAGTAGTTGTCAAATTAATTGGCCAATCGGTAAAGATAACAAGACCAGGCGCAAATTTTTGGATTCGATCAGTGTGTAAAATTATAAAAGCAGCATGTGTTTACATAGTGAACTTGCTTATCACATTCGTGTTGATTTTGTCACTTCATGGGGGAAGGAGGTGTTTTAACCATGTTAAATTCTGTTTTAGTCCGTCATTCCCTTTCAGACAATTTGGATTCCACTTGATATGAAGTGCTTCTGGTGATGTGAGACGTTCTTTGTGATTTCTGAAATGCTTTTTCTGGATGATGATTTCAATATTTTCAAAATCACTTTTGTGACCTGATTCTATGGCGTAGCGTGTAGACGACCTATGGCTGATGATTTTTCAAGCTTTTCTTGTTCAACTGGATTTCTCGGTGGTCGAACAGGTGGTCTACGGCGTTCATTTCTTTTGATTTTAATTTATCGCTGACGATGTTTGTCTGATGTATATCGCATCATATTCCAAACAAGCATTTTATATTATAGCCACAATTAGATACAGAATTTATAAGGATTCGGTCTTTTATATGGACAAGGTTGCTTCGTGATGTGTCTGATGTTTCAAAAAATACTCTGCTGTGTTGTAAACTGGGATGGGAGTATAAAACGGTAGGTGCTGGAATGCCCAGTAATCTGAAACGGTGCAGTTCCGTTTTCTTGTATCAAAGTGTTGTGTGTATCGCTTTCAATGCGACATGTTATCGTCTTCAATTTCGATTTGTTGCAGTTTGTGTTGTTCGTGAAACACGGTAGAAATGCAAGAGTATAGTTAATGCCAGGAAAGTGATAATGAAAATGCTATTTGTGTTGGATGCTTGGATGAGACTGGGAATTATATTTCTCCTGTGTCTGATATTCATGCTATCTGGCGCTCACCTTTAATGTATAACGAAGGTGTTTAAGCTGTGATATTCTTTAAAGGATGTAGGTACAGGATAAAGATTTCATGTGAAATTGGTACAAACAGAACTGAAATTTTGAAAGTTATTGAGCAGATTGTCACTGAGCGATTTGGAGACTGAAGTGTTTGGGATAATATATGGTCTTGTGGGATTGTCGGAAATGTAGATAGGTGTTTGATAAGAGTGCTATTAGGTCTTGAATATTACTCAAATGGTTCCGCTTTAAAAACTGACTTCAAATATTCAATACTTAAGAAACCCGAATCTTTAAACAAGACTGTGTGTTTTTATTGATAAACGTCGTTTATGGTGGAGTTATTCTCAAACACAGTGCTCAAACTCTCTTCTTATATCAATTTAAACACGAAGAATGAGTTGGTGTTTGTTGTTTTGCAGTTTTCCCTAATAGCCATCAAAGTTCACTTTTTGTAAACACGGAATTAACTAAGAGATACTGATCTATTTTAATTATTACTCGTACTCTTATTTTTCAGCCACAAGAGGAAAAGCCTGAAAAGTGTGAGTCTAAGGAAATACCTAACGAAAATATACGATCAATATCAAAATATTCAAAACAAGTCACTTTGGTTAAAGAAAACTTGAATAGTGATGATAAGAACTCGCTTATTCTTCAATCAAGGAAATCAGAAGGTAGTGATTTGTCAGAACACAACATACTGAAGGAGAATAATCGCTTGTTAGAATCAAATGGGAGCGCTTCGAAATCATTGGATACTTCACACAAATGTTCACAACAAGATGGAGTACAATTCGATGGGTGTTTAGTGAAATCCAGTGGTGTGTTGACTGAGGAGAATTCACTTCCTCGACGTTTGTCGAATGCCAGATTACGTCGTCGTCAGAGACGTCGTATGTCTGAGAATGATGGTGAGTTTTACCAATGTCTTTTTAACTGCTGCTTGTCACTTTGTTGAATATGTTGCTTGCACACTGAAGACATTTAGTTCACACGTTTGAACCGCCGGAATTGTTGAAGAGATGCGGTTTATTTGGGTGCGATGACTAGTAACAACTGTGATTTGTGAGTTTTATGTGCGTAAATTGAGTGGATGGAGAATATTGGATGCCACTTACTCGCACTTGATTGCATACATTAGGTCATCGTTGATATCTAACAATGAGCTGCACTCGAAGAGTAGAAGTGCCGTTCATCTGATCGGCTTCGAGATGACTTTGTTGGCGGTTTATTTGAATTTGACTGAAGAATGCAATCTGATTTTTGGATATGAATTATGTGAAATGAACTCTTATGTATAGGTTCTAAGGTAGATTGGAAATAGGTTGAAAATGGAGCATGGGGGTTTTCTGAATCAGTCACACTGTTGAATATGCTTCTTAATGACCAGGTGAAATGATTACCTGCCGACGCACACCCGATATCTATGGTCGGCCTGTAAAATTTGGGCTACCGATATCCATGCTGAAAATTCCATACTTCTACCAAAAGTACTGTGTGGAATCAAGCTGTAAACAAAAAAATAAAAAAATAAAAAAAATAAAATCAGTGAAATGACTGAAGATTTCCCGGGTTGAAAGACAGCCGATGTGACGTTAGCCTGTATTGATAGAGCCTGGTGACTGATGACGTGATCACCTGTTTAACATGGACTGTAGCAATGTTTTTCTTTTCGGCGAAAATATTGGACAATCTGGTAAGGAGTACTGCAGCACGACCATATTCTGATGAAATAAATTTCTTGATATTTTGTATAATTTGATAACAAGTTGGTGTGTTTATAAAAAATAAGCCTATTGATAGGTACTGAAGCAGACGGATTCATTATTATTACATTATTGATTCCTTTAGTTCCTAGAGGAACATAGGGCTTCAGCAGCACGTCTCCATTGCGTTTGGTTCTCTGACAACGTTTTCACCTGGCTCCACATTTTCCTACATGCTTTCATCATCTGCTCTTCACATCACTTTCGCCTCCATATCAATCTCGCACTGACGACCAAATAACTCGCCGCCTCTCATTCGGATTCCACTCGAGCGATGGCTTGACATGTGATAGATGTCACTTTGTGGTTTGTTTTCTCCGAGTATGGCCAATCCACCTAACTCCATTTCTTCCTGCATATTTGTTGCACAGTGGGTTCCTGCCCTGTTTGTTCGCTCATTGCCAGAGATTACTCCATGTTGCTGATCTTGAGAAGTATTGAGAGAAGACAGCTGTTGATGAAAGTTTGTAGTTTGTCCGAAGTGCCGTCCGTGACTCGGCACCAAGTCTCTGCTCTGTGTAGTAGCACTGTTCTCCCATTTATGCTGACTGTTGCCGTTGTTGTTGGCCAGGAATCTTCATCACCTCTGTTTTCTCTATGTTCACCCAATGGCTTTAATGAATTAGAAATCATGAATTTTCATGTTGTGAGCACATTGTTTTATCAAAGTGCCAGGTGATTTAAATATTTCGAAACAATCCAGATATATTCATCGATTTAAGTACTTTTGCTATTATTCCTGTGAGTATCGAGTGGATCATATCGCCTAAACAGTCCATTTCCACTGTATCTTACTGTCTGCATTCCTGATCAGGTGGACGCACGATAGGCACATGGTGATTAGTCCAAATTACTGATCTGTGGATGACGGCGTTGAGGGTTAATTTGTCTTCCAACTAAATCAATTCCTCACTTGTTCATGGTGTACTTGAAGGAAGTTGGCATGAGAAATGATGGAATTGTTCATACTGGTTGACTGTGCATATTTAAGTGAATGGTGTCTAAGATCCCATTCAAGTCAGAACGTCAACAATTTAGATCAACACGTCTTATTATCAATGATCGAAGCCGATGATACTGAGTGGATTATCAAGAATGGAGGTCGTCTACACAACACAGTCGGATGACTGGAATTGTGTTCATTAGTGATGAATGTGAGAATGAATCACACTAGTGGTGAATGATTCGTCACTTCATGAGATGACTCACTTTCTCTCTTGATTTGACTAAGTGAATATGTGAAGTCACATCTTTGTGCTTTCTCAGTGAATATATTTTATGACACTCTGAGTCAACTTTGCACAAATGTGAATTCGAATTTTGCACATTGTAGATTATTTTGACACAGAATATTAATGAGTGTCTCGTGTATTTTGGAATAATACTAATAGCAATAACAATAGTGATTTACGACATGTAATGAAGGATATCATTGGTGATCATTAGAGAGAAGATAAAATGAAATATACGACTGGATGTGAACAATATGAACAGCTAAAAATCAATCAAATACTAACTGGTTATTTGAGTTGAAGGGGTTCAACAATTTATGTCGTTCAACAAGGTGCCAATGTCTAATGAATCACACGAACTTTCATTTGTCAAGTGAGCTCAGAAGGAAGCAAGCAGAAATATCTGTTGAATGAAACAAGTGTATGCAAATCGCCCCTATCTGATTCTTCGTTTTGTCCAAGAAGTACTGTACACTGAAGATGTTCGTGGAATAGGCTATAAACTAAGCTTAAAACAAGCAACAACTGTGAAAATGGTGGTATTTAATGAATTTATAAATAGGTGTAGACGTCCTCAGTTGTGATCATACGGTGACGTTGAATAAAAGGTTTATGACAATTAATTAGCAAGGTAGTAATTAAAATGCTCTTGGTTTTGCTGAGGTCTGCGCAGTCAGAAAAAGCCAGATATATTTATAAAACAGGAGACAGGAGTTACCTTACCTTAAATCTATCTTGGTAGCATACATTCATTTTACATTTATAACACTCCTCGCCTTCCTTCTTCTCTTTACAATGAATTTTCCACTATCATAGTTATTACTACTTCATCTGACATACTTTTAGTTTTCTTAGGATGTGTGTAAATCGGAAATCGTCGTTGAGTATTAGTCCCGGTGAGGCGTGTTCTAACTATCTCTGATGAGTTTATTCAAATCAGACGTGTTAAAATCTTGTTATTTAGTCCTATATTATTAACACATCTCCAATTAATTTATTTTTTGAGACATTTCCTTGTATTTCATTAATATTATCAAATCTAGATGCTTATAATTGTACTAATTTCACCAGGATAACTCCACTTTATATGCACTCTAATATATTAAATATTCCCATAGTAAAATTTAGAACAACACATTTAAGTGAACAGTGATATTAAGGTTTCAATTAGATCTCATCAGGCTTAACTTTCTAATATACATAAGTTTACAAATAAAAATTCAAATATAAACCAATCATGGTGTTTTGTCTATAGGATAATAAGATGGTGAATATAAATTGTACAATCAGTCATAATAATATTAATAATAATTATGGTTCTATCAATAATAAGAATGAAAAAGTGAGGCGATCTGTGATAACACGAATAATGAAAAACAGCATGATTAAACAAACAAATGTTCAGGTAGACGTAGTAGTCAATAAAGGCTAAGAAAAACAAATGAACCGATTAAGTAATGCTAGATTGTAAGGGAAGTAAATGAAACACATTTTTAATGAAGATGTAATAAGATTAAGGGATGATAAGAGAGTGGTTGAAAATAAAAGTAAGTAAGGGGTGGTGTAGAAGTCATTAGTTGGTTATGTCTTAATAGGCCAAAGGAGGGATAATGGCTGTACGAACTTCTTTTGAATGCATAGTTTAGGTTTAATAGTTCGAATGCCTATCGCCTCAGTTGTGTGTAGTAGACGAATACGAAGTCTGTTTGAGAAATTCCGTGGGATACGATGAATTACTTTGAAAGCTCTCGTTTCCTCCACTACATGACCACTATCAACTAAATGTGACGAAATTGAGCTAAGCATTGTTTTTATCTGTCAAACCACGATGGGAGATGTTCACTAACACGTTGGCTAAGCTGTCTAGTAGTACACCCGAGATAACTGTCACCGCAGGTACAGCTGAGTTGATAAATGCACATAGATGTGTGGCAAAACTATCTATCTTATCCTTCGTTTGCGTCCCAATCATTCGTCAGCTAGAGAATGACAAACATAGGTGTGCTGCATAAAATGTTCTTCGTATACTCCTTGAAAGTCTTTGGAATAGAATCTCACTTGTCAAGTCACCATTAAATTGTAACTCAGTAAATAGAGCTTTTTTACGTGCAATCATAGTCTCAGGTTTTCTCTCTGATGTTTTTGTATGTTTCTATATGAAGCTACTCGGATAGCCCATCTCCACCAAGGAATCGTGAATATATTCAAATTCTTTTTGTAAGAGGTCATCCGTACATATATTCTTTGCTCTGCTCGCAAGACATTTTACAACATTCCTTTTATATTTAATGGGCACGTAACTAAGGAAGTGTGTATATTGTCCTGTGAATGCGCTTTTTCTATACACACTTCTCTCAAGTGACCCATCTTCTCTCCTACTTAGCAAGACATCCAGAAAATGTAGTCTACTATCCTGCTCCTCTTCACAAGTAAAAATAAATGAAGGGTTACGTTGTTGAATTTCATCAACAATTCGTCTATGTTTACATCCCCATCAGCTAAGATAAATGTATCATTGATATATTGGTAATACATATCAAACTCCTTGATGATGTCTTTCAATCTCCCGTTTTCAAGTTTTGCGAGAAAGGAGTCAGCTAATATTGGCTTGTGAACCAAGCTATTCCATCTACTTGTCGGTATTATGATTTATTGAAGACAAAGTGAACATTCATTGTGCATTTAAGAAGTAATTTTTTGAGGCTACACAAGGGAATTTCTAAGTCTAATTGCCTTTTGGCGATTTCTTGACAAATATAATCCACTGTTTCCACAAGCGGTACATTAGTGAATAGTGATGATACATCCATGGATAACATGCGTTCATCCCTCACATTAGTCTCGGATATTTTAGAAATAAAGTGCTTTGATGACTGTCACTCATCCATCGCTTATAGATCGTATATATATGTGGCATCGAATTGCTGCTTATTTGTTTCCGCCAGAATCTTCATGTGTTTGTATGTATGAGTAACAATGTTTGTAGAGGAGTATTCAGTTGACGAGTCCTTCTATCGGGTTTTATGAGTTCATTGAATACTGGTGTGTCCGCAGTTGCTGCTTGTTTTAAACTGACTATCGGAAAGCAAATTTTTTCAATTTAGAAATGAAACAATTTGAATGTTTTCGATACCAGCGACCTCTTTCTGCCTTGTTATATAGAAAAGAATTTCACATTACGTAACACCAACTCAACAAAGTGCAACCTGTGTGTCACTGACTGCCCAACACAGACCTACGACATTATCATCAGGAATTTTATTAGTTGAGAATCACCTATTTGAATTATGAGTCGAGTGATAATTTCTCTGATCCCTGTTCGTAAGGGTGATTGCATTAATTTAGTATTATCAATGTGTGTTTCTCTAACTATGATGGTTGTTTATCTTTGACTTCCAGGTGAACAACACTATGGCCATCCTGTTTATTGTAAACAGGAACAGGAGGTGAATAGCATTAACAAGTCTTCAGATTTCAACGAGGTGTGCAATACTAATGGAAACAGTCCACGTTTCAAATTCCGTGAATGCGGAAAATTGCATTCACATTCATTCAGTGTTCTTCCTGTGTCGATGTTGCCTAAATTGCGTAGACCAGGTCATCGTAGTGAGAGTGATTCTTCTGTTCATACAACAACAGTACAACATGCACTATTGGGGAATGGCTGTACTGATGAATTCAGTGAATCGAGTGGAAATTCTCGCCTTCCAGTTGAACATGCTGATTGTACAGAAATATCATCCTCTCCCGCTGTGGTGTTCTTCTCATATCCACGAGTTAATCATGACAGACAGGTATTATATTTCTTTTCATTTTTGCGTAAGTTTTGATTGTACGATATGTGAAGTAGGAGGTGTTTCCAGTAGGAGTGTGTTGACTGATAGTGAGTGGATAATTTCTCAAACATGATTACAATTAGGTGGCTGGGAAACCATTGTGTTTCGATTGATAATTGAATATTTTAATAACTGGCAAACAGATGAGGTCTAACCTGACACCGAATGACTAGTTCCACGCAGGATATCTTCTCGTCTTGATAGTATATGCCCTTTTTATTCAGTGAGAGTTTTGTAACCACTTGTTTGACGTGTTCGTTGTAGAACATGAGACATGATGAGGAGAACTGGTAGACAGAATGAGATGTGGTTATAAAATGGTGTTGGGATAAACATCATTCCACTTTATGCAGCAAATTGCGTCAACAATGAAGGCATAAATTATTATGCTTCATGTAGATTACTCATTGTCATGTAATCAATGAGATCTACTCAGAATTACGAAACTGTCCTGTAGTACATTCCTCGTTACCGGTTATCTGTGGTGTTACTTGTCAGTACAAGAATTATGGATGGGAATCTTAGTGTGAATAGATCTCATCACTCGCTTAGAAGAGATTCTCTCTTGCTTAACAATATAGAGGGGAGAATGGTTCGACCATTTTGCTGTACATATTCTGTGTAACAGTACATGGTGCATCTAACATCAATAGTCACACAGTGCGTGGACTATTGCCAGAAATCGGTCTCTTCTATGAAACTGAGTCTGTATTTAGCAATAGTTAGCAGATAGAAGGAATGTATAGTGAATATTCTTTTTATTTCGATATTGAAAACCGAGCCTGAGTGTTACTGTCTCATCGGCTTCGACAGATGCACTCCACAAACTCTAGAGATACTTCCAAATAACTGTAATCCACATGTGTATTCTAAAGTGGAGCTGTAGAATATAACGGAAAGAGTTGGTGTTTTCAGTAGACGTTTGGATGCCACACATTTGTCAGTCATTTCACTTTTGTTCGATGGTGAACAGTAATGCTAGTTTCGATTTCATACAAGCGTCATATAAAGTCGAAGCGCTTTCTTGAAAACGTGTTACTAACGGATGCAATAAGACAGATGACCGGAAACTAAACTCAAATCAGATACCGAGCTGTTGTCCAGAAACATTACTGTTTACATTTTATGTATTATTTTCTTCACATGAAGGCCTCCTCAGTATTTCAGTGCAATTCAACATCCTTGAAGGATCAGAGTGTTTCAAAAGAGATTAGACATGGAATCGACGGTGATAATACTCCTGTATTGAATAAAGTGACAGGTAACTTCATTGTTGGAGATCCACAATGTAAATCAGAACTCCGTCGAGACCAGAACATTGACAAGGAGAATGATGTGAACAAGTCAACGGAATGTCATCAAAAGTAGGTTTCCAGTTGTATTTTTCATTCACTGACCAGTTCATCACAGAGTTGGTTGATTACCTTTTGACATCCTTGTATCTCACGTAACTTGGGCAGAAATTGGAAACTGTTTCATACTAGAGAAGTCATGTATAACTCATGAGTGTTGGTGTTTACATACGTCTGACTGAGAACGTCCAGGTAATTTGTCTTGATACTGAATGATAGAAATTAGGCTGTCGCCAATTTGAATGTAGGAAATGGAAGACTCCTTTCTACTCAGTCCCACTTAAAATGGGTCTGGAAATGGGAGGTAACCGGGTGATGCATCCCTACAATATTCGATACGCTTCTAGGGATTACCATATTTTAATGGACATTGTTAACTGGAATTATTTCCGATCCTTATATCTTATCAGATTCCTAAGATGATTTCAAGGAAGACGTTTAGTGAATATAAATATCTTCATCAGACAAAGTAGCTTCAATATGAAACACTGTACCATGTGCTGATTTTATAAATCATTGTACGATGCACACTGAGTTTGCAAGCAGTATATATTCACTGAAGGAATTACAGCACGAAGGTACTTATAAGTGGAAAATGATAATAAGAAAATGACTTTTAGTGGATGTCAATCTTTGGTGGAAACTTCAACTGATTCAATCTTGAGTGATTCATTGACATTTTAGTCACTGACGGTGTTTGAAATTCGGTACAACTAGCCAAGGGTTGACAATTACAACAGACGTGAAGTGAACCGATTGATGTTGCGGTAGTTTCTTCCCGGATTAGCCAGAATCACTCGCTGTCTTCATTTGCTTTCCCATCTGAAGCTGTCAACATGTTTGTATTCATCAAGAATTGAATCGTTGAAGAGATCGGGGTACAAGTGTTAGGCTATGAGCGCACACGAACTACAATGATAATTCTGTTTGCATTACTTTCTCAGACTTCCTATTACCGTTAGAATGAAGTCAGTTATTTACTGTCAGCTTAGTGAATATAATTTTTTTTGTATTTTAGTAGTGACATGGAGATCGCTGCAGTGGTTGACTGTCTAGCTGATACTCTGAAAGACGACTGTCATCCAGGTGCTCCGGTGATAATTCGTCGTAGTAACAGTGAAAGGAGGCTTGTCACTGTGGACAATGGATTTAACGTGTGTTCAAATGGTCATCAAAAGTCATCGACTTGTAGTAGTGAAGATAATGGACCAATTGAACCAAGTGAGTTTGTTTCAACTGGTTATTTATTACACTTATAAAGATTGTTTTCAAAAGTTGCCCTACTTGAGGATTTGCATTAGCCTTCTAGGTGCAATTTTAACTAATATGTGTTTCGACTGCAAAGAAGTCGGGAGTGTTCAAAACTTACACTAGTCTTTGAATGCTGGTTTGAGATACGTTGGGTGATGTAGATGTTTGAGAATTATTGATGACGTGTCCCATAATCCTTCGCAGTGCGCACGTGTCTTTACTCCACATCATTTTACAGATTCTGAAATTCCAAACTGATTCTGGTTTAATTTTTCGCTCTTTCGTCTGTCTCTGTGAGCTAAAGTTTCATTACACTTGTCCTCCCTACATTTATGTGCTTCTTTGAAGTGTGTTAACCCTAGCTGATGCACTTTTGTGGGAAGTTCTATGCTGATATATCAATCAGTCAACCAATTAGATACTCAGAGAAATTCTTCATTGACCTATTGGTCTTGATTTCTCGTTTGTGTATACTCCCTACCCGTGTGTCTCTTTGTTCATCGAAAATTCAGTGCAAGAACTTATCGTGATGAGTGACATTGGAAAGAGTGAGAATGAGAGAGAGACAGGCAGCCTAACTATTTTCAAATACTGAGTGAAACACTTTGAATTCATTGGCTGTGTGGAATTTTCTGAAGTATGAAACTTGTGATGGTGAGAAGGTGTCTAGTAACTTCTCAGTGAACAATTGTACAGCTGAGATTTGCTATCTGATGTCGACTGAGATATCAAATTAGAAATACTTAGAACATGTGAACAGAAGCAAATTAAACCTCTCCGAGCACAATCATACTCCGAACACAATTCATCCTGATAACTAGTGTGAAGATAAGAAGTAGCCTGTGACCACATGAGCTAGTTACTTCCTTGAAAGAGTTGTCATTCGAGTTGATTATGTGTAAGGAATGCATTTCACATTTCCGTGTAGACTGATGATCGATGATATTTGTGTGTGTGTGTGGAATAGTCTCATGGAGATCTTTGCAAATGCTTGACATGGGAAGTAGTGATAGCCTAGTGATGATTATCAATATGATATTGAAAGGCTTCTGTGAAAAATTCTGCTTAAGAGGATATTTTCATTAGAATCTTTTGTCACATATATTTAAATTTACCCTTTTGTTATGCATTCATCGTTTAATAATCATCGCCTTTTGTTGCAGAAGAAGAAACCATCAACCGATCTGTGCAATTAAAGCAACGTTTTGTGGAATTACACAGGTAAGCATTATTGCTGAAGTATTTATAGGAATGGTGAGTGAGTTTTATCTATTCTGAGTGATATTATGTCATAAATTGGTATAAGTTTATGTGCAGAGTTTCATTCTGTTAACAGCTGTTGATAATGTGAACCATGTCCCAATAGATCAATAATCTGACTGGTTCAATGAGTCAGAAGTGTGGAAATCTGAACCACTATTCCTGCTAGATGTTAGTTTCAAACGAGACAGTAATGAATTGAAAGCAGTCATTCCATGTAGATCTCAAGACTTCGGACGATACACATCCACAAACAACTACTTATTTTAGATATGATGGAGAAGAGTTGTAGCTCAGGTGGATGATTTTGATGTGGTTATGTTCTCTGAGGTAGATAGTTAATTTGCGAAGCTTTCTTAGCCGTCTAATAGGCCACATCTTCAGCGAATACTTCAAATTGTGGAAGTGAGCTTTTAGATTTCTCCACGATTTCACAATTAGTCATCTCTCCTGGTGGGTGATCCTGAACGTGATTGTTTGTTTTTGTGTGTTTTCATACCCTCTTGGCTACTTGTACTGGGACTGATTGTTTCCTTAACTTGAACTTTGACCCTTTGTGTGTGAGATTTCCTTCTTATCTAATGGTAAATTTTGTCCATCTCGATGTGTCTATTGATTGATGATTCACTGGAATACCAGGCTTCTAAAAATTCTCTAGCATTCTTGATGTTTCCTCTGTCTAATAACTGACCGCTGGTTGTCCCAGTCGAATACAATACAAGTAGCCTAGAGGGTGTGAAAATACACAAAAACAAAACAATCCCGTTCAAGTCACCCACCAGGAGAGATGACTAATAAACTCGTGGAGAAATCTAAAAGCTCACTTCAATTGAAATTGCAGTATGCGCTGAAGATGTTGCCTAGTAGTGGGGCAATGAAAGCTTCGCAAATTAACTATCCACCTAGCTCAGAGAACACAACCATATCAAAAACTACTTATTTTATTTGTCAGTAATCAGATTAATTGTCATGATTCATCACTGAAACTGTTATAGAAAGCAAGTCTGAAATATCAATTAATAATGTTGAAATACGTCTGTAGATGAAAATAGGTGAATCACCAATATATACAATAAAAAGCTTTCCTTGTTGACAACATATAAACTCATCTTACTATGCAAAAATGGGCGTGACTAACACAACATGAATTGAGTAATGTTACCTTCTTCTGTACTGAAGATGATAATAACTCGTTGTTAGTGAAATATATGTGTCACTCAGTCTGGAAATATGATGACTGCCATCATCAAAAGGTATGTGTTTCACTCAGGTGGCTAATAGAGGGCTGATGTTTAAAAAGTTTTATTGAATTGACAAAGAAAATGACCCTATAAATATGGATGAGAAAGTCCTGAGTAGGTATGTGAGTTTTTCAGCTTCACAAATAACTAGTCTTCAATTTATCTCTCCTTGTAGAGACTAACTGACATGCTTGGAGAAGTGTATAGTATAATGAAACTAATCATCTAATATGTCATCATATTTGATATGATATGAAAGAAGCAACCGCCTTTGCCTACCAACCTACCTGGGAAGCATCGTTTCAACTACAGGCGGACGGAACTGACGAGGATATCAAAGCGAGGATCGGGAAAGCAAGACAAGCTTTCATTTCTTTCAAGTCTGTGTGGAGATGAACAGCACTCGGCATGAAAAATAAGATCCGGATTTTCAACTCCAATGTGAAGTCAGTGCTACTATACGGATCAGAGACTTGGCGCGTCATGAAGGCCACTTCGAACAAACTACAAACCTTCATCAACAGCTGTCTTCGCTCAATACCACTCAAGATCAGATGGTCGAACGGAAAAGATCAGCAACAGGATGGATCTCTGGCAATGAGCGAACAACCAACTCAGCAGGAACCCATTGTACAACAAATATGCAGGAAGAAATGGAGTTAGGTGGATTGGCCATACTCTGAGAAAACAAACCATCAAGTGACATCGATCACACGCCAGGCCATCGCTCGAGTGGAACCCGAATGGGAAGCGGTGAGTTAGTTGGTCGTCAGTGTGAGGGTGACATGGAGGAGGGTCATGTGAAGAGGAGCTGATGAAAGCATGTGGGCAGACGTTGAGCCAGGTGAAAACGCTATCAGAGAACCGAACGCATTGGAGACGTGCGGTTGAAGCCCTATGTTCCTCTAGGAACTAAAGGAAACAATAATAATAATCTGATATATCATTTTAGTAGGCCTGGTAATCTATTTTCATTGAGTTTTAATTAAATTTTATGACAGAGATGACTGTTTTGCTTGTGGATTTCTTATTCGACATTCTTAGATTGACGACGTTTTGAACAGCATCTATTTAGTTAAGGAGAGTGAGTATGACAGAATTAGTCAGTAGGGATTGTGACAAGATGATATCAGGAATTCAGCTGTGAGTTTTCAACATCTTCGGTGTTGGATGTGAACATTTTTTCTGCACATAATCATAGTTGGATTTATGGACCAGAATTTTAGTCGAAGAGCACAACGTCAGTTTGAAATGTTTACATTGATAGACTAATTCCCTGTCTACACTACTCATAGAATGTCATCAAGTGAGAACGCTAAATTTATCCGGAAGAACAAAAGTGGACCAAACGAAGTAGGTAGGCACAAGTCAAAGATATACACAAAGTTTTATGTCGGGCTCTGATGTAAATGAGTCTCTCTCAAGATGAAGGGTGTTGAGTTGTGTCTAACATCACAAGTTTTGTATTCTACGTTATGACAATAGTGTCTAGAATCTACATGTTAATTAAAGTGGACCTTGAGAATCTTAATTTTTTCACACTGTTTAGAGGCCTTCAGTGTGCGTCGTCGGCATAGTATTCAAAAATAGCACTGAGCATTCATGAGATTCAATCCTCCCTAATTTATTCATTTCGACTGAGTTTCACATAATTGACTGAATACTTATGAGGTGGTAAATTGTCGTATCGTGGGTTAATAATTAGAATTTGTGTTACAGAATGTGTGAGAAAGTTGTTGTAAAACGCACGTGCGCGGGAACACTATCCAACATGGAGAACACAAAGGGGTATACAGTTGGATAACAGAGCATCTAGTGAATTCTGAACATTCATATCCGTTTGAAAATTCCTTCAAAGCCATATACAAGATCCGATCTAACCTACCAAAGGGAGATTGAGGCACTGGCTATCTAAAACCTCAAGGCTACTCTATGTGTGCAAAAGAAATACATCCAACCGTTGTCCCTACCGTGGCCATCATGAAAAGTCAGTCTCACCAATAACGATTATCATGTTACTTTTCTTGTCCAAGCTTCCCGTTTATTTCTTATATTTACAGTTTCAAATCCCTATCTGCATTAGTAGATTTGGTTACTGTTTTAACTTTTATATGTCCGAAACTTCTACTACGTCCTTGACCCGTAATTATACAAGCTGACGAGTTTTCCAGTAATTATAATCCTATTTTATCTTTTCTACCCGATCTTCCTGATTAGCACACATTGTACTTTTTAATTTGACCTTTGACCGGAAATAATTTTGGAACTTTCTCACACATTTAATATAAATGAATACACGAATGTACAGCCTCCTAGTTGATGACTTCGTCGAAAAGGAACCATCTTTTTTTAAATAATTCCTATGATCCAATGTGTATATTCCGTGTTAGAGAATGTGTCAAAGCAATGGTGGACACCAGTTAGACTGGAGGTTATCGGATAAGCTGTTTTGATATTATTACTGTTATATTTGAAGTCTGTACATCAATGCTTAGATGTATCTGTCTTGCCTTTTTCTTATCGCCTTGATTTACAGAGAGTGTTTAAAATGTGTCGGACTGAAGAAGCTACATGAAGCCTACGAAATTCTTGATAAAGATATGAGTTTTGCATCACAAGAGGTGAGTTATAAACAGCAGTTATAAATAACTCGAGCTAGAGAGACAGAGAGAGAGAGCGAGTGCTCTCTGTTGGAATAATCTATGTGAACCGTAATTAAGTTGACACACACACACACACTGTACAAGTGTATTCGCCATTTACTGACAGAACTATCAACGAAAGCCAACAGAATGATACGGTATTAAATTAAGTGTGCTTCGTGACGTTTATCAGACTGTGTTTCACTAGCTGAATGGCTGATGTTAATCGTAGTATACCTCCAGGACAACAGGAGATTAAATTGTATGGTGCCGTGTTTACATGACAGAATGTTTACACATTAGCTTGAATGTCGTATGAGATCCTTGAAGAAGTTTGATGTACTTTTGATGATTTCCACAATTTAGCGAAATATTTGACAATTTTTAACGGAAGGGCCAATAATTCTCAATAAGGGATGACAAATAATTTCTGACCATTGATCAGTGCTGTCTTATTAATAATAATAATAATAATTTGCTTTATTCCAGAAACAGTACTAGTGGTACACTGTGGAATTTTCAGCACATATCTACAATATTTGCATCTAATTTTATCAAACATTTAAAAGGAGTATTTCAAAAAATAAATATCAAGACAACAACAGCAAAAAAAAGCACAAAATAATTTTTTTTAAATGCGAAAATATACCAAGAAGTAGAAGGGAAAATAAACATCACATAATAATATCTCAGTATTGGGTAGTGGAAGCTATGATATGATTATGCATGGTGACAGTAAAGCTATAGTCATACAAGAAGTTATGAAGTGATATTTAAGAATGTTTATCGCCAAGATGATCAGTTAATTTGGTTGAAACAACTCTAAACACTAATAAAATAACATTTCAGGGTTGTTGTTTTGTTTTTTATTGTCAGGTCTAATGCAGTGTTTGTAGTGGTAGTGTGAGTAATCCTGCATAATACAAAATTTTAAGGTGGTGATAATGGCGTTCACAACCAATGATTGTCAGTTAATATTGCCGAAAAGTATAGAAAATAAGAAAAAACAACCACAAAACTAATAATTACATGATGGTTAATGACAGGACAATTTTGTAATACTCATAGTGCTAATATAGTCGGAACCAGTAGATACACAAAAGAAGGAATATAGTAAAGTACAAAAAAGGAAGCCAATGTTAATATTTTAGGTAGCTAAGTATGTTTAAGAAGGAGTTCACTATAGAATACAAATGAGAGAGAAATAAAAGAGCCTAAAATTATGTCATTAACAACAAAGCAAGTCATAGGTTTCGCGCTTAACATTGTCTCTGTCACTTAGAACACGGGCCAAGTATGGTATCGTTGAGTTCCTGTACTTGGTTGTACAAGCATAAATTATTTTATACTGATTCCTGGTTCTACTTGATGAGATACAAGGCGAGAGTTGGGAATAGAGGGATTGTTGGGGGTCGGAGAGTATGGTTTTAGTCCATTTAGAAGGAGATAGCCGCCCCCTCCCCCGCCTTATTCAATATCTTTGTATTTCACTTGTCTAGAATGCATGATTATGATAGTAGGAGGAAGCAGAAACACTCACTCATCTTCTGATTTCTTGTTACTTTATCTTTCAGATTCTATTGAAGAAGATTCTCGGAGTGGATATTTACTCACAGTATATGAGTAAAATTTGGCAGTTGAAATTACTTGAACAGTCTGCTTTCGAGTGAACTCCGTTGAGATAAATCACCAGATAGATAGGTGAAGAAGTTTTTTCTTCAGTGTCACCACCAGTTCCTTCATTACTTACGGCAGAGCGTATGCAGTATACATCCCAGTGATTCGACTTTCTTTCATTTTACTACTTTTGTTTATTTCCGATAAATAAGGTTTGCCGAGGCAACACAGTTATAATACTATGTACCTTTTTCAATGATTTTATAAAGAAATGTGATTACTTTGGTTTAGGCTAGCGATGTCTGGTGTGGTACCAGGCTATTTATGCATATTCGGATGATTCTATCTACGTTGTTGATTGTTCCTTGTCCTAGGTCATGGTCTTTTACTTACCTTCTTTGAGGACGTTTTGACTTGTAACTTAATATTTTGAGACTGCTTTTGAAGCCATGTGATAGTTGTTGTTTGAGACTTAATTGTGAATTGACTGTAAGGCATGGTGATACTTTATGAAGGGGAATTTTTTAATTTCATTTCATTTCATAATCTCTTTTCACATTAAATTTTTGACGCCTTCTCTACCACTACCTTTAAATACTACTTGGTGTAAATGAGTAGTATTTAATGTTTTGTATAATTTAACATGCATCTGATTTTATACTGTATAATAATATCCATAGGCATAAACAATTTGTCGTTAAATGGTCTTATTTTTTAAACGAATTGTATCCTTCATCCGACATCGAGGGATATTTTTTTAAAGCCTAGTACAGTAAAATGTAAGTCACAATGTTCAGTTCACCGAAACTTATTTAAGTTTTTCTGAATAAGGCATTTAGAAGACAAATGTTGCGAGATGATATCGCCGTTTCGTATTTCCCCTACAATCGCTTCACAACTAACAAGGTCAACAATAATGAAATAAATTAAAATGCATGACAATTACCCAGTTATATTACAAACAAAAGTACATACGTACTAATGACCAATCACATTTTCAAATAGGTCAGGTAGTCGGTTCCTGGTGGGCAAAGGTGGGGTTAAGTCTATTGTTTTGTTTGTACACATAGTTTAGGATGTATGTGATTAATCCACAAAGTGCTTCCATCACCTTTTATAACCAACCTTGAATTAGAGTTATGCGATGAAATAATTGTGAAACGGTCATTAATATTGATTTTGTGACCTGTTGATTTTAAGTACTTTGTAATAGATGATGATGGATTTCTATTCAGATTAATAACTGCTTTGGGATTTCCAGTGTGTCTTAATAACCACTGTGGAACATGTTCTTTTCGACAAAACGACATTGGAACACTCTATTAGTTCTGCCTATATATGTGTCATCGCATCTGCAGGTGAACTTGTAGATACAGTTTGAAGTAGAGTATAGAGAATTTCGTCTTTGAATCGTAGATACAAGGATAGAAAATGTTAGAGATGTGGCGTAGTGTGCGCTTGATGAGTCACCCAAATCTTTGAGCTGTTCACTGCATAATCTGATCACCATTGAGTGGAAGGTTCATAAGGATAACTTTCTTTGCTACCGAAGGTGTATTTTTAAGATGTGGTCCACCCTTATTGCAACAGTTGATAAAGTTGTTTGAGACTAAGCAACGTTTATACTGGATAGGAACAAAACTGGTGAAATGAAGATATTGTTTACTCCATGTCTGCTTACGAAATATAGATCGCTTAATTGTTCCATCGTCTCTCTATTGAACTATTTCCTGGAAATGCGTGCGCTGAAGTTATCACATTTTTCAATACATAGAGGAAGGCAGTATGGAGAAATCATTGTAAATTTTAGTTTCTGCACTCAGCACTGACTCGAACATGAACATAGAATCAGACAACAAGAGTGAACAGATATTGTAGCAATAATTCTCTGTTATCAAGATATAACAATAATAAAAACAGGAAAAGGCAATGTTAAAAAGACAGGCACAGAGAAGGAAATCCTCTTTTCGATGAGGCTGTACATTTGTGTTTTTATAGTGAATTGGTGAGAAAGTTCCAGAAGAATTTCCGGTCAAGGGCATAGGTGAAGCATTAGCGATGCAAAAGTTCAAACCACACTATACATTCAAAAGAAATACGTCCACCCGTTGTCCCTACCATGGACATCATAAAAAAGTGAGTTTTATTAATAATGGTCATCCTATTTCCTTTCTCATCCAATCTTCGTTTTTATTTCTGTTAATTTTACGTTTCTTAAAAGTGCCTATGTACCTATGAACTCCCTACCCCTTTTTGGTATTGCTAAAGTTTTAATCTCTAATTCCACAAAAAAGTCAAGTTTTCCCAGTAATTATGATTCTGTTATGTTTATTACACATTGCAATTTTCTTCACTTAACCCTTGACCTGAAATGGTTCTGGGACTTTCTCACCCATTTACTCTGTGAATACACGAATGTACAGTTATCTAGTTGATGACTTCATCGAAACGAAAATTATCTTCGCTGCAACCATCTTTTTAGTAGTTCCAATGATCTAATGTGTGTATACTCCGTGATAATTCTACTACCAATAATAATCATCATCTGCTTTATTCCAAAGAAGTATTCATGATACAGCATGGAATTCTGAGCATTTGGTACAACATTGCATCTAATTTACTCAATAACAACAGCAGAAACAAAAGCAAAAAGATAATATGACAGAGTACAGTTAACCAAAATTGGTAATAGCAACTTTCTGGCAATAAGAGTTACAGTCAAGTTGAAAATAAACAAAAAGCGTAAAATGATAATGAAAATAATGATGTTAGTAACTAAAACTATAAGTTGCTTGGATTAGTGTCACCACCATGCCTAACGTGTCTATCCCACCTTGTTTAATGAGCTGTGTGTTTGTTTTTACTTCGATCTGTTCAACTCATGACCCAATCAGAGTATTTTTGTGAACTGTTATTCTATTACAGACTAATTTTATATATCATATCCTGTGGTGCATTGTTTAAATATGTGAATGCAATGCTGTTCTTTTTTTATTTCTTATATTTCTCTTTTCTTTTTGTCGTTGTTGCTTTATATTTTTAAATCCTTATAAAAATTATGAGGTAATTAGATGCAATATTGTAATGAACGCTGAAAATTTCATACCTGTACCACAAATACTGTTTGGAATAAAGCTATTATTATTATTTTGCTGACCCATGTCTTATTTTGTACTATTCTGTCGAGTTTATCTTATTTAATGATTGGTTAAGTAGCCAATTAAAGTTTATCTTTGTGCCTATGCTTTGTCTATCTCTTACTTGGGTTCATTCCTCTACTGACTGCTTACCTGAACGGTCGTGTCTGATCCGGCTAGTTCGTAATTTCGGCTTTAACGTTATTTCGCTCTGATAGCGGTACTTTGCTTTCTGTTAAGCATTGTGTTTTGTACTCTTGAAACCGTTAAGGTTTGTTGTATATATATTTATTGATTTGTTTATTAATAGTACCGTAGAAACAGTGACCGGTTTCTTGTTTTTTTCTGGACCGGGATATCTACGCGTGACTTAATTTCAAGCGATATTGCGCTTACAATACTGGTCACGAAATTAATTGATATTATTGTTAGAAGAAACGTAATATTATTAAAAGGTGTTATTAGACACTGTCACATAAACACGAATAACTAATTCCTGGTACATGATAATGCCTCATTGCATTACAATTACCTGTGCATTTGTCAAGAAGGCAATTAGATACAGGAAAACATGACTGGCTGATTCATGCGTACATTAAATCCCTGACTATAAGAATATTTTTACAAATCATCATACAAACTCAAGCATCCTTTCAACTACAGGCGGAACTGATGAGGATGTCAAGGGAAGGATCGAGAAAGCAAGGCAAACTTTTATTTCTATGAAATCTATGTGGAGATCAACAGCACTCAGCATGAAAAACAACATCCGGATTTTCAACTCCAATGTGAAGTCAGTGCTACTTGCTATATAGATCCGAGACTTGCGCTGAGCGTCACGAAGTACACCTCAAACAAACTACAAACCTCCATCAACAGCTGTCTTCGCTCAATACTACTCAAGATCAGATGGCCAGCCCAAAAAGATCAGCAACAGGGAGGGATCTCTGGCAATGAGTGAACCAACTAAGCAGGAACCGATTGCGCAACAAATATGCAGGTGGATTGGCCACACTCTGAGAAAACAAACCATCAAGTGACATCCATCACACGACAGGCCATCTGTCGAGTGGAACCCGAATGGGAAGTGGCGAGTTAGTTGATCGTCAGTGCGAGGGTGATAAGGAGGAGGAGGTCATGTGGAGAGGAGATGATGAAAGCATGTTGTCAGAGGTGAAGCCGGGTGAAAACTCTGTCAGAGAACCGAAAGCAATGGAGACGTGCAGCTGAAGCCCTACGTTCCTCTAAAAACTAAAGGAAACAATATTAATATATAGCCAAATTTCGTACACCTTATCTTCAGCGCACACTTTGCACAGATATTCGTGTTGTGGTGCTTTTTAACTTCATGTCGTGTTTCTTTATGTTCCTTTCACATCATCGATATATCTGCGCAACGTTGTATCATTTGCCTTCTCTGAAATCTAATGTATCTCCTTGTTATTTGATGTTTTTATGCCGATGAATGTCTGTCTATATTACTACTCATAAATCTTATCAATAGCACTCGCCACATTACGGATAAATTCAAATCAACAAAAAATTTTTTATCTGACTGTGAAATGACACGGTAGTGCACTGTTATGTAGTTTTATTGCAAGCTATTAGACGTAAATCAATACGTTGCTATATATTTGCTTATTTACTGACTTGCTACAACTTTTTATCTTCTAAGTGCTAGGCAAAGCTGAGGAAAACTCATGCTTTATCGAGGGTTTGAATCTGTGTCATCTACTGTAACTGCAGAAGACAAGGGCCAGGCAACGGATCGTCCCTGATTCGGGACGTAAACATTGATGTAAATTGTTGTCTACAGTTTTGACTCGCAGACAGCTCCCACCACACTCGCACCCCCGTCAAAGACTTTCGACTGAAGCTGGTTCGGTTTTCTTGGTGCTGGTGGCTTCGTTCGTTTG